TCAAACACACCATAACACCGAGTTAGTCACCCCCTCGAGAGATGAATGTTGCTGACTGCTTGCTCCTCTAGTTATACCAACTTTAGTAACGACCACGCGATAGCAATACACAGCGGTCTGAGGAGCCATAAACAAACCTCAACCAAAAAGCCACTCTATAGCCACAAATAATGCTCAGAACAGCACCTAACTTCATCAACAGTACATATAGGATCCTAGCTGCAGCACTAGCCACCAAACATCTTCTTAACTTTGCCTAATTTCTTCAGCAAAGAGACGAAACACAACTCACCAACTCTCTTCCAGCAGCCACTTGTAGGTAGCGAGACCTCAGGGCGGTCCATTACGGACTGCAGCGGGGGGAAGCAGCTCAAGGAAGAACATTTATGATCATTTCTTCATGGAAATGCACTCAGACTGAGACGCTAAGGCAGAAGAACTACCGCGTCTGTAGTGCAAAATGATTAATATGGTGATTATTACTTCAAGGAAATAATAAATTGTATTGCTATCCTGCAGTCGTTACTAAAGTTGGTATAACTAGAGAAGCAAGCGGTCAGCAACATTCATCTCTCGAGGGGTTGTCTAACTCGGTGTTACAGTGTGTTTGACCCTAAAATAATTTCACGCCGGAATATCCCTTTAATTTATCTAAAGCTTGAATCACAGGTTCAGGAAAATGACTAACCCCAGGCTTTATGCAGGGTCAAGGTAATGGCAAAAGTTTTACATTTAATGTTCAAACACCTGATATCAACATCTCCTTACTGAGCTTACTGAGAAGTGCTATTATCAAAATGTCTCACTATTTCTTTTAAGTTTTTTGGCAGTGTAGATATGGAGCTGAAAAAAGTGGTCGAGAGAAGTTGGTAAAGAAAAGAGAGAGATAAAACAGAGTTGAAAGCTGAAGGGGAAAAAGAGGGAGTGGACAAACAGAGCAGAGATAAATGTTCAGCGGGCCTGATGCCTCACTGTTTGTATATACACTAAGGGAGAATAATGGTAGAAAGTATGTGCCATATCCATTTTTAGCTAGCTATAATGTGTCTGTTTGCCTGCATGTGTGATAAATGGGGCTTTTACTTTCCGCCACATATTATCTAATGGTCTAAGCATGGCTGGATGTGAGATATTGTGTAGATAATTTGGGGTATAGAGATATCAGCCAGCCATGTGTAAACAATATCTGCCATTCCTCAGAGAAAAAAGAGGCAGAGTGGGAGAAACAGGGCAGTGGGCTATGGTTGAGGGAGGGTGTAGGACTGGGAAAGTGAACAATCTGAAAGAGGGTAGTGGATATTTAAGAGCATCAGGAAATAACAGTGGTCCCAGTGCTCCTCAATAACCTCTACAAGGACAGGAAGCCACTCCATCAATCACCGAGAGGATAGCTCTCTCTCCTTCTTTCTCTCTCTCTCTCTCTCTCTTTCTCTCCTCGGGCACTGAACCCACAGTCACACCGGTGCAGCTGCTCTAACGCGGTCTGCCTCCCATTTACATTCCTATCTGTCTATGAACACACACACACTTCTATATTTTGCAAATACACATACACAGCTGGGTTTAGCCCCGGACGTAATAACAGAGCACTCCAAACCAGCAAGACCACTGACTGGAGAGTGATGGCAGCGAGGGGAGACAAGGTGTTCAACTTAAGAGATGTTGTCGTTTGTTCTTCATTGTAGGTGTTTCTAAAAAGGAAAATTTACACTAAAATTTAACCAAACTTAAGAAAGCAGACATGAATCAAACACACATCAAAGCACAGTAAGGGTCTTGACAGTGTTATGGGCCTGGTTAAATGAGAAAAATATATTAGAAGGAAAGTTTTACAGTCATTCCTTTTTATTTTCTGCATTTGCTCACAATGCTACAAGGTACGGTGGCCGAGAACCGCCTCTGCTGCAAATAAAAAAAGTCACAACGGAAGTCAACGCCACAAAAAAAAAGTGGCGATGGAAAAAAAAGTTATTTACTGCGAAAATAAAAGGATGCAATTTTAAAAAGCCGCAAAGGAAGTGAGCTGACAGGGACCAATAATGATAATGCATCAGTGTTTTACGATCTAGGCACAAAAAATGATGGCGAGAAGATGAGCAAAGAAGTAAGTGGAAAGGTTTTTGTTTAATTTCGCTTTGTGTGCTTTTTAATGTGTCATTTGGTCAGGCCATGTAGCGCCTAAGTCGATATGAAGTTGAACGGAAGGATGCCGGTGAAGTGTTATTTGCAGCAATGGCTGTTCTCAGCCACCATACTAATGTTTTGACTTAACCATGAATGTAAATATCATTGACTTTATCAGTAAAGCAGAATAATTTTCACTTTTTTATTAATGGAGGTGTTAACTTTAATGTCAGTTTGACTACATGATTTATTGCCATGGAGGCACTATCAGCTGTTAAAACTTTAAAGCTTTTTAGCTTTAAAAATAAATCCTTATAGCCGCACATTTAATCAAACAAACTGGCTCAAAAGCACTTTCATGTATGTAACTTTTTTGTTTATAAATGCACACTTTGAGAGAGAGATTTAGTTAAAAACATATCTGATTTTGATATTATCAGGGTTAATAAATGTACATAAATTTGCTAATTTAGGCACAGCTAACAATCGGCGGCACTGCAACTGTTAACGAGTACGCCAGAAACCCATCTCATCTTTCACCTCGTTGGTTGTTTTAGCTGACTGATATTTTAACACATGACCTGCCAATAAACCCAAACCTTTTTATAGATTAAATAAACAACTTTAAAAAAGTTATTCACTAGTTTCCTTAGGTGCTGCAACAGTAAATACCTGCTGGTATTTGGCTAGGCTAATTGCCGCATTTTAATGTAAGTTGCTTTTCAACTGATTGTTTCATTTTTTCTGAAATTACTAAATTTTCTTTAAGTGAATACAGACAATTACTTGTACTAACAAATATTATCAATGCCGGTCATTTAGTTTTTAAAATATGACTTTATGGGGGTTGCACCCTTGAGCTGACTAAGTCTCTCTCTCTCTCTCTCTCTCTCTCTCTCTCTCTCTCTCTCTCTCTCTCTCTCTCTCTCTCTCTCTCTCTCTCTCTCTCTCTCTCTCTCTCTCTCTCTCTCTCTCTCTCTCTCTCTCTCTCTCTCTCTCTCTCTCTCTCTCTCTCTCTCTCTCTCTCTCTCTCTCTCTCTCTCTCTCTCTCTCTCTCTCTCTCTCTCTCTCTCTCTCTCTCTCTCTCTCTCTGAGACGTCATTAAAAATAACAAGCTCTCTTCCACCTCCCTGCGATTTGCAGCCAGTCAACAGATTCCTCTACTCTGGCACAGAGCGCTCACTGTACCCTGTCAGAGGTTTAACAGTTTTATTTTCTTCTCTTTTACAGTGTGAGAAAAACTCCCAGTTGTAGCAAGTAACCAATTACAGGCTCATGTGCAGGCAGTTTACCATGGGTCCCCTTGTTTGTTGGGTCACAAACAGGACAGGAAATTAAGCTTTCCCACTGACTGGATGGAGTTAGTGACTGGACCCAAAAGCAGAAAATAACTGTTTTATATTTTAGCAGCCAGTCTTTTTATGGCGTTTATTCGTTTTATTGCAGATTTTAGCTCTGTTGAATCTGTGTGCAAAATTAAGTCATTTTTCTCCAGCTGCAGTACGTTGTAAATGCAATTGAGAATTTATTTGCCCCTTATAAAAAAAAAATTAGGGATTGAGGGTATCTCATAACGATCATTGTGCTCAAGGATATGACTCAGTTATGCAGAGAATGCTGAATGGGCATGCATCCCTTTTCCCCTCTTTTTTCACACACGCACACCTTTAGGGCCTTTTGCAGGTTTTCTGACGCTGGTATCAGTAACATTTAAGACACCTGCTGCTGCATGTTTTTGAAAACATTAAATCAGAAAGTGAAAACTGATACTTTTACATCACTTTTGATCCCTTAGAAACTGAAAATGTATTGGCACATAGCCTTTTCTCCATATTTTAACTTAATTTACATCATTTGGTGCAGACTGACATCATGTGAACAAAAAATATATTTTAAAAATATTTAAAAAATTAAAATAAATAAATAAAAATAAATAATTTAAAAAAATATTTGCCTATACCGCCCTACATATGCAGTGCTTAGTTTTGCATCGCAGCATAACTTCACCCATTAATCAATCTCATTTGACACTTTAACTTTGTTTATTTTTCCACTCATCGATGGATCAGCTGCAGTTTGTAGGTCAGTGTATTCTCCACATGCAGGCCTCTCGCATGTGGGCCACTGACTCGAGCGCAGTAAGTGGGTGACAGAGCAGCCGCTGGGCAACACAGAAGCCTAGTGGTTTTACTGTTGAGTGACACTGTCCTGAATGAAGAGGTCAAAGGTCAAGTCCTGCAAACTCAAAGCTCATGTGTTAAGCTTTGTGTAATTCTGAATTCCTTTTTTTTTGTCTGGTTAAAGTATGGTACAACATGATTTATAAAGACTAAATAAAAGCATTTAAAAAGCAGCAGGCAAGATTTGTTGATATACTTTGTCATGATTGTCCACTTTAATCATTACTGTACCATACTGCACCATAGACTATATATTGAATGGGCGCCGTCTGCCTCCTCGCTAGGTGAAGCACACACAGAACAGCACACTCTGGTGACGGGCTGCAGTATACCTCATAAATCCTCCTTCCTCCAGCAATTCCTATGGAGCTGTGGACAAACTTTGGAAATTTATCACACAGAGTATGCATTTTTCTTCCCCCTGGTTGTGATGTTGACATGTAGTTATTGTAAGACTGGTTTGTACACAAGTCCTCTTTTTTCTGTTCAGCTCCATTTTTAAAAGTTATTCGGGAGTTCATGTTTTCTATGATTGACACTTGATAAAGCCTATGAGTGTACGAAGATTGCATAGCTCACCCTGGTAATATGCTGTTTGAGCTAAGTGTCATCACAGGGACTCTCCGCGAATCTCCCGCCGAATGCGTACAATGCTACTGCACAAGTGGTTGAGTAAGTACACTCAATTGTGGGGAAGGCAGAAGGCGGAACCAAGTTGTCCATAGTACATACAGTCTATGGATAGCACACTGTACACTTGAGCAAAGATACACCAGCTGTAGTGGAGGTCGAGACTGAGCAGGCTGAGCATCAATGCTCATGTTAGCACCACTTTTTATACTGTTATACTCTGAAGGGGTGGCGTTATGTTAAGGAGGCATCATGAGGTATCCCTTCCAACCCCACCCAAGAAATCCTGCAGATAAAAACATCACAAATCGGTTTAATGAATAATTTTTAAAATTCAGTTCTTCCATGGTACATACTTTTCACACATTTCAACAACCATTTATCGGCAAATACACTCTACTTAGAAAGAATGTTTTTAATAGGCTTCCTTCAGCTTTTTGAGACAGCCTCAAGTGGACACTTTAGGAACTGCAGTTTTTTGCACCTACACAATGGCTCAGTTTTGCAACACTCAGTATGTTTACATGACACTTGAGAAAACTGAATTATTGCCTTACTCCGATTAAGACCACCTGCTTAGTCTGACCTTAGTTTGAGAACTCTGATTGGCATTTGATTTTCTCTACCATGTAACCAGCGTAGTTGGAGTATGATTGGACAATGCATGTGTGCATGTACACCGCCCCCATAACCCTGGAACAAAAACACCAAAGAAGAGCAGTAGCTTGCATCTCATCTGCAGAAAAAGTACATCATGTACGACAAAAACAACGCTGTACAGTGCTCCATCTTCTTACATGAAAAACGCCCAGCAGCAGTTGTAGCCACTTCTGGCGTCTGGCACGGACCTGCTGTTGTTGTTGACAATTGTATGGGGTCGGAAACAGCACAGCTGAAAAGACCGATATCGGCCTCTAGTTTTGGGGAGGAGGACACATTCACGTCAATAATTCGATTTTCTCATCTGCATGTATACGCGGACAAGGAGAGAAGTCCGATTCGGGGAAAAAAACAAATTATGAGCTTAGCTTGATTAAGCTGTGCGTGTAAACGCACTGACTGTCTTGCTGCTTGTTTGAGTTGCAGAGACTTGCGCATTTCTGAATGACTTCTGTGATGCAGTGAGCTTTTGAACCTCTGTTTTGAAAGAGTGTGCAGTTTGAAGTATAAAAGTCCCGTCCAGTTTTAGAGCTCCAAAGAATACCTTTGAATCCTAAAGACTGGAACAGATGAGCTTACATTCACATGCTGTAAAAATAAGCTTGAAACAGAGGGGTTGGTTGTCAAACGGCATTTTGAATTGACAGTTTAAGACACATTGTAACAACAATCTTGCCTTTGCTTCCTCCAACATCTCCGCCGTCTTGTTCTGTGTACACAAATACTGTCATGTCTGAGCTACAATCTGCACTGGCTCTTGCAGGAACAGAGCTGACAGGGGCCCAGAAAAACACACTTTTTTTGCTTTCTAATTTGCAAGCACAGACATGCTCCAAAAAACACTCGTGCATGCACATTTTCAAGAAATTCCCTCATGCACAGTCCCGTATCAGCGTCTGTGGAAGAAAAAACACAGTGAACCGCCTGCCAATCAACCGTCTGGGGGACAGAGAGGTCAAAGGTTGCCAGAATGTTTATATGTCTAATCATGAACTAGAAGCTGCGTGGGTATAAATGACACGCATTAGCATAAGCCCTGAAGAGGCTGATGAAACTAAAGCATATCAACGCACAAAATGATGGTCATTAGTTAATCAGTCTGGGAAAAGGACCACAGTCTGTCTTTTTTTTCTCTCTTTATTCCACATTTCCTGTCTTTCTTTTCCTCCTCAGCTGCCCCCTGTACCACTCACAGCTACTTTTACACATTTTATTTAGACACTCTCAAAAGTAATCTGAGTTTTTTTTAGCACAGAAACAGTCATCAGCTTTTTCTTTTAACTCAAACTAGTGAGGGCCATCCATGCAGTAAAACAAGAACAAAAAAAACGTACATTTCTCATACGAAATACCCAAACTGCTCTGACTTTAGCAGAAACATTTTGCTCATGTAAAACCTCATTGCTCATTGTAAGGAGCTGATTGAAAAAATATGTTGGCAGGGCTTTTAAAAGGGCTGAAAAAAAAACAATGGCTCTTGGCCAAAGAAAGCTATACGGCTTCCCTGTTTCATGGTAAATGTCTTTCATAACCTCTGGCTTCTTCCTCTTCCTCCATCCTTTTTTTTTTCCATAGTGGGGAAATACATTATTGTACATCCATGGTAAATGTCTTTCAGAACCCTTGAGCTTTGATTCAGTCTCAAGCCGTTGCTCAGCAAAGCAAGATGTGGAGTAAAGACATCTTTGCTTGGGTGGGTCAACATTTATATACAGTCAGCCGAAACAGGCTTCAGACTGATAATGTGGAGGTCACTCATCTGCTTGTCCATGCTCAAAGGACACATGAGGAGGTTACAGTGCTGTTCCCTATATATTTGATGCAGAATTAGACCAATAATACTCTATAATACTCTTTCCAGCTGGAGGGTCATTGAGCTCAGTGCATTATTTTCTTTACCATGAAGAGAACAGACAAAGTTCTACTAAAGTATGTATAAGTGAATTTGTTCAGTTAGATGAGAGGCGGCTCCTGTAGATGAAGTTTCTAGAGAGCAGGACAATGCATGCCAACAAGTGGCTTCATGTTTTATGTTTTTGCATGAAAAATAAATTTACATAAAGGAAAATATTATGTTATTTGTGCTGAATTTTTTGAAAGAAGTGTGAATCCATCTATTTATTATGTGGTCATATTGAGTCATATCATCAGGGGTGTCTCCAGAGGGCAACCAGGGGTGGAGAGGACCCCTCTTAAAATCTGATTGCCTGTCCTTAATATGTCTATGGAGGATAAATCTAGCAGCTGGAGTTTGATTCTGCCCATCATAGTTTTAATGGCAGGAAAAGGTTATTAACAACCAAATGATCAAACAAAAGGTAATTAAACATTTTTAAACTGATGAAGGTCGAGGAGAGATTAAACTGAAACTATAGCCTACTTTAAAAACTGCCAGTATGTTAAACACAGTATAAACCAATACTATAAAACAAGTTAGATATAGGCCTCCACCATGTTGGATATATGAGGTGCCGCAGAGATAAATCTGAAGACTTTAACTCAAAATAAGGGCCAGTTTGAAAACAGTACAACACATGGAGAAAGGAGAACCTCCTGTCTGCAGGGGGCACCAAAGGTCACACTGACCAAGTCATTTAAAGCAGTGGTTCTCAAGTCCAGTCCTTGAGGCCCACTGTCCTTCATGTTTTAGATGTTTCCCTGCTCCAACAAACCTGATTCAAATGATCAGCTCGTTAATAAGACATGACAGAGCTTGATAACGAGCTGATCATTTGAATCAGGTGTGTCGGAGCAGGGAAACATCTGAAACATGAAGGACAGTGGGCCTCGAGGACTGGACTTGAAAACCACTGATTTAAAGGATCTTTGAAACAGTTTTAAGATTTTGGAAATAGACTAGCAAGCACCGAACGAGTTAGCTTTGCATGTCCACCAGAAAAAGGAGGTCAGAGCAGTTAACCTGTATTGTCAAACCTTACAAATAAATTCATTTTTATCTTGTTTGTTTCACTTGTGTCATTTTTTGTGTTTAATTTCTGCAAGAATGTAACTGAAAGTGTTTCCAATAAGCTCTGAAAGAATTTTGTTTTTCCTCTCAGTTTTCTGCAGCACATTTTTTGCTTGTTACATTCTGCTCCGCTTGATTCAGTACAGACATCTGCAGGCAGGTTTCATGACCGCCTTGAGGATTTAATGAGACTCTCGAAAGGTCAAGTAGTTTCACACTTGAATTTGTGGCAATTCTGGCACTTTGGGTTACAGGGAATTTAACCTGCACACGACTTCTGTTCTGAGCATCGGGAACAGAAAGGAAAATTTATCTGTCAGGATTAACTCTGACGCCAGAGGCATGAAGCATTAAAACTGTCAACATAGAGAGCAGGATTAAATCTGTAAGAGCTACTGTGAGGATTTCAATTATCCACTCTTCTTTCCAATGGATAGTATGTCATCCTGTAACTAAACTCTTTAAACACTGAAGAAACTCATTACTGCTAATGTGTCTCTGACAGAGAGTTTCGCTCACAGGCAGGCACTTTATCACACGGCGCTGAGACAGGCTGCGTGTCAGAACCAAGCGCCAACCAAAACATGCTTATAGACAGTCTATTTTTCATATTTCTTATTTTAACAGGTATCAAAAACAGCCGAGAGGTACATCTGCCTACAATTATTTATGAGGGGAATTTGATCTGCTGCTGTCTTTCAACACTCTCATCAAAATGTATAATTTAGCAACAGGCACTGCTTGCTTCATTTAAATACAGATTGGATGAAACCTCCCAGTTGCACGATTACGCTTGGTTTTATGCTTCAGTGGATGGTCATATTAGCTGGGTAGTGCTGCTGGACAATTTCTTTTCACACATGGATGGATGTTATGAGCTAGAATGATGCATTAATATTTAGATTAGTATAGGGATTTACTCATAAGCCTTCTGGTCATGCAGTCGAGGTGCTGTTTTCCATGAAATAAAGAACTGGATATCATCTTAACTTGACTGAGGGTAATATAGTGGAAAGGTGAGAAATCGGACATTTACAACTTTGCACTTTGTGTTTTTTCCTTTTCCTTCTTACATGCAAAGTTAAATAAGATGGGAAATGATTTTTGTATTGTATTTTTTTTTCTTTACATTGTGTTAGAAAATGTGAAAAGATGAAACAGTTTGACGGTTAAGGCTGTGAGCATCCTGCTGTCCGTCCATAGTTTTAATTGGTTAATGTTTTGATTAGTTTTCATATCTGAGTCTGTGAGCATGTTTCTCTTTAAGAATGAAAACAAGTCCTTCTCTGGGAATAAGACAGTAAATACTGAAGAAGATACTTTTAAATTTGCTCCGTCTTTAGATTTATGTGTTGTCTCCATCTAGTGGTGACTGGTGTGTTGTACAACTCTAAAGTGGACATACGGACAGAGCAATTACATGTTAATCACTGATTTAAGTTGTAAGAATGAAGCACAGTGTAACAGGGTATAAATAAGGTCATAACTTTCTGGATATATGATCTGTTCAAGACTTTTGAGTTATGAATTTGTTTTGGCTTGGTCTAACTAATAAACTTGATGTTGTTTTAAAATTTATGGGGTCTCTGGTTGACGCATTTATCAGTCCACTGTGATAAATGATGCACAAAACCCTGATCAAAAACATTCTAGAGACAAGATTACAGTTTATTTTCTTTCTAAAGTGACCTTGGATGTAAAAAAGTATCTCATTTCTCTCAGAAACATTAATTTATTTAAGTTCAAAATTAGTGAAATCCTTTTACCTGAGTAAAACTGAAACACTTCTCCAGCTCCACTTTACTACAGGACTTAACTTTGCTCATACTCGACTAAGCGAAATAGATCAGATGAGGAAAAAGTAAAGACTTTTGAATCTGCCTCTTCACATTTTAATTTATTTGGAATATTTTAAAGCTGTGAGTAAATTTTGGCTTATCTTTTTTTGGCACCCTGTGGAAATAGTCTTTCTTGATCTTGTCTCCTGTATACTAAAGTTGTGTCTTATCCTGTTGTCTTAGGCAGTCAAAGTTATCATTCATTGTTGAGTATATCTTATATGGAAATTGTAAGAACAAGACTGTTTTTTAGTTGCTTGGGTGACACCTACCCCCTCACACTAATTTAAGACTTTAAAAAAAGCTATCAGTTTTGGAGCTGATGGTCTTCTTTCCTTTTGTCTATCATAAAAGGCAGCAATATGAATTTCAGTTTATTTCATAAACTTAAAAAACTCCTCACAGGAGCTTTAATGCTTTGTCATTCTGCCAAAATGCTTACTGTTTCTTGGCGTCTTCCAATGAAGCAAATGTTAATTTCCTCAAAATACTCTGTGTGTTTTGGTTGAGCCTCTTATAATGCATAATTCTGACATTTTAATTAACCTGAGTATCCTCCAGGTGTCAGAAGATTGATTGCACCTGGGTCTAATTAAAGCTCACTCCTGATTGGTTGATGACAGCATGCGACAAGGTGTAAAAGGCATGGGAACCCAGCAGACTGGTTGGATTGTCAATGTCCTGCATGCTTGTTTATCCTTTACCCTCACACTAGCTGCAATTCTCATATGAGACCCCAAAAAAAGGAACGTGTTCTCTAAATATCCTGATAAACAACATGTCGAGTGGTTCAAAAGCAGCTGAGATGGTTTAACTCAGACTTTGTAAAAAGCAAGATACTCCTGAGGTGGAATGAATTTTATTCTTTTCACAAAACACGAGTGCTGTCGAGCAGTCTGGCTCTCAGATTTGTTCACATTTACTAACTGCACATTTTCCACATTTTGCCCCGTTTTTTTCTGAATCGACCACAACAAAAACAAGTAACGGGTCATATACTACAAAGAGTTTATTCAACTCAAGAAGGATGTGTAGAAAAATATGACCTCTAAGGGTCACACTTCATGATCTCTCTGAGGCAGATAGTGGCGTAACAAGACGAGTCCAGATCAAAGTTTAATGACAGAGTTGGTGAGTCCTGCTTCTCCTCTACTGTCGCTTCATTCAGTCGGCCATCACTCATACTCCTGCCTGCGAAAGCCTCCTTTTCTCCTCCTCGTCCTCCTCCAGCCCTGCTGGAGGGCAAGTTCAGCTGGTAGTGGAGGTTTTGTGGACAGGCCAGGAGAGGGCGGTAGCATCCAGGTACGTTCAGCTTGAGGCTGCTGACTCTGAAGCGGCAATTGTCCAGTTCATCTCTGGCAAGTCTCTCCTTGAACCAGGTCCCCATGGAGTTTTCTGGGTACTTCACGGTGTTTCCTGGCATTGGAAGCAGTATCTGAAATAGAAACAGGAACACAGTAAGAAAAGCATTGATAAATGGAATTACCCAAACTACATCGACTTAAACTACATAAACTACAACATACTTGTCCCAGTGTGTACACTCCCTCCAGCTCTTCTTGCTCTGTCACCACATGGATCTGGAAAAACAAGACATGGTGCTCTCAAAACATGCTTAATATAAAAACATACTATCAATAAAAAAGACAATATAAAGTTTCAATAAAGCAAACCAGACAGAAAGTTTGGAGAGTGGGCTTCAACTGAGTACTTCCTGTCTGCTCTATCATTACCTGTGATTGGTGGGTGTTACTGGCAACACTGTGGGGGCATTAAATGTAGATATTTTTTACTATAATGATGGGATTTCCTCAATGAGCTGTTTTCCATCCTGTAAACTCCTTCACAGGAAACATTCCCCCACTTATTGCAAAAAAGAGGAGGAAAACTGGAGAAACAGGCAGAGTAGGAGCCTTCTTACATGGAAGGCTCTCTTTAAACATCCCCAATACCCATCTATCTCCTTCACCTACACTCTTTACTGTACATTTAAGCATTTAACTTGAGCATTTAACTGTGCAGCCCCCTTCTCTGGAGCTCTACCACAGACAATCTGTGCCTCTGACTCTGATATTATTTACTCGAGTCTTGGTATTAAGTCCATTTTTAATATTGTTGTCTGTGTAAGGTGGTCTTGAATATCTTGAAAGATGCCCATAAATAAAATGTATTTTTACAATTTCTTATGAGGCGTTCACACCAAGCGTGAGTAAAATCATCTACCCGCTTAATTCGCACGAATCTTGACGCATGAATGAAGAGTATTTACTCACTTCATTTGAGCGTCGACAGTAATTTCAAAGGTTATCCTGACCAATTCAACCGGCGGATCAAGTGATAGACAAAGCTTTTTTACAATTTACCAGGTAATTCGCCCACCAGAGTCGTAGGAACGTCTTATCGCGTCTTTGCATTGACTTCACATATAATTCATTCGCGCGAACGATTTTACTCGCTCTTGGTGTGTGGAGACAGTAAGAGTAAGGTTAAGTGTATTAATTTTCCCGAGCTGTAAAGTCAGTGTTAAACCAAATGTCCTCCAGCTGTCTCTCTCTCCTCTCTTACCTGAGGGGAACTCATGAGTCCAGAGTCATCCAGCTTGTTCGGTTCTTCCTGCATCCACACCAGGTCTCCTTTCCTGACTCTGTGGCCCAGAGTTGTTAGTCTGTGTGCCACCGCCTCGTTCCACACTCTGACAAACAAACAGATCAGCACATCTGTAACTGTGATTTGGAGCACTGTTGATTCAGTAAAGGACTCATTTACAGTTACAGCCACAATACTTATTTTTAGTGTAGTTAGAATGTAAAAAAAACGTTTGAGGAGTATTTCCTTGTTGCTGACCTGCTGCAGTAGGCATGGGGGTAGAAGACTCTTGTGCTGTGGGGCAGGCTGAGCCAGGCTTGGGCACAACCATCAGGACCTGTGCCGTACCGGTTCAGGGCCCGAAGCATCAGCCGTTCTCTGACCTTTGACAACGGCATCAATGCTAAACACTCCTTGGCATTGTCTAGTAAGAACAGAGTAAAAACTGTTGAAGTGCAAAGAGACTTCTGACATTTTAATGAAAAAAAAAACGAGAAAACCTGTGATTATTTTGCTGAATAGGTTGTTTGGTTTTCCTGAAAAATCTGAAGTACAAACAGTCTGTGTTGCCTCAGCCCTCACCTGTTTGTAAGAAGTGTCTCTTCGCCTGGCTTTGAGGATCCTCACCTTCCTCTGGAGTGAAGAAGAGTCGCACAGCACCCACCTGAGCCCAACACACATTACAACATTAGCCAGCAACCAAGTCAACTGCAGCCTGGTAGGATTTATTTTGCTGAGATGACACAGTTTTCTTTAAAAGTAATTAAGATGATCATCAAAATACAGCCAGTCCACTTCACTTACCATGTCCTCTTTGAGTAACGCCAGCCCTACACGGTCAGATTGAACACTCTGCACTGTCCCAAACCTCTGTGGTCCATAATAGTTGACAAAACCTCTGGCCTGCATAAGTCAACAGATGTAGATGTTGCAGTTGCAAACCAGTACGACCACATTAGACAATAAATGATGAGTTTTGTTTATCGAAAATGACATAAATGACTTAAATTGGTCAGTGTATCTCTGCATTATTGCAAAACACTAAGTTTAGAGGAAAAGCTCTTTAATTGCACAATGCCGTTTTGGTCTACGACTCCTTGTGAGATGGTTAAAAGCTAAAATATTGTTTGTTTAGAATGTTAAACCTGTGCATGTTTCAATCAGGGTAGAAACATGCATGTGATTTGCGACACACAGGTTGATAATGTTAGAAGTCCAAAGGTGGAAAATATGATCACTGAAACTACAAAATAATGAAAACATACCTTGACATTCTCCACTGCTTCTTCGACCAGTGCAGCCAGATGAGTGTGTGTGTTAACACCAGGTGAGTGTGTGTCGCTGTTACTGTGTGGTCTCAAATCTCGCACTACAAGGTCAAAATGGTTTCCCTGCAGCCGTCCGAGCCTCAGAGGCTCGCTTACAGAGAGGATCTGAGACAGACGCATGCCCCTCCTCTCAAACTCTCCCGCCTTCTCTTTCAACCTTGTGGTGAATACACAAATAAAACACAAACACAGGAGAGGATTTCACATCGATTTCCCTGGTTTTAAGCACCCTGACTTCCGAGGCTTGTCTTACTTCTTGTCTCACAAATGTGCAGATGGGAAAAACTGATTCAAATCAGAAAAGAAACACAGAAGTACCGTTCAGGTGAGACCTTCTTGACCACCATGGACTGGTATGTGATGGCTCTTTTGTCTTTGATCCCAGCGTAGGTGAAATCTGATGGCAGGACCCCAAGAGCCGCAGCCATGTAGCTGATGGCCTCAAGGGTCTCCAGGTTCTCTTTACACAGAGTGAAAGCTGGGGGGAGAGAAGACAACAAATACTTAATTTCATGTCGAGTTCCCACGGAAAATCGAATATAAAATCATTCTTCTCTTGACTGATTAACCCTAACCCATGAAATGCCAGCTGATGTGCGCATTGTGTATGTAATTTCTTTGTTGCCCACATTTTAGTGAGCAGACCAATTTTGTGTTGGAAAAAAAAGCTGCTGTTAAACCCCTTACCCGTGTAAACCTCCTCCTCCTTTCGTTCCTCCGTCGTCCTCTTTTTCTGCCTCCCCTGCTCCCTCAGCCGGACCGTGATGGCCGTTTTTCCCTGATCGCTGAAACTCTTCGTCTCCACCAGTTTCCCAAACCGTCTGCTCAGAAAGTGGTGCACCGCCGTCCTGTGATCCTTATTGTCATCGGGTCCAAAAGTATAAGAGGACCCTCTCACTTTAGCGTCTATGAACCTGAAGAAGTCCTCGGCTTCGTCCTCTGAGACCAGCTGGGACAGCTCCCTGTAGTCTGGGTCTTCCCTCACCCTGATTTCAGGCTGGATGGTGACGGTCATGAGGAAAGGGAAGCGGTGTCTGATAGCTCTGTGGACGTTTGCTCTGTGGTGTTTGTCTGAGAAGTTCCCCAGTGAAAGCTCCTGTTTGGATGTGTTTTCATCTTTAAGGGTTAAAACAAATTGCTCCAGCTCTTCACTGACTGCTTGACCTAAAATCACACTTAAATCAAAGCTGTAGGGACTGGGAATAGTGGCATCAGCACCACAATCACCTGAATCCCCAGTTTCCTGGGAGACTACCTGGTGACTGTTCTCCATACTGTCTGCAATGGTTTCATTGAACTTATCAGATGAGGCACAAGATGGTGTGTCAGCTGTTGTTTTAACATACTGTCCATTAATGTCAATCTCTGTTACAATAAAGTCACTGATGAAGTTTTTGATGGTCCCAAAAAAACCTTGATGATCTGCTATGAAGCATTTAGGGACGTAAGTAGCTTCACTGTCCTCCTTCATGGTCACTTTATCCAAACACTGCTCAGTTTTTACTTGGTCCAGATGCTAAAAAAACAACAGAAATAAAAATTCAAATGCAAAGTCACAATTCAAAGAGGAAGAAAGACTGTTTTGCACACTGATAGGTGCATTTCTTACGCTTGTTCACAAGAAATAAGTCCTTAACAACCAATCTGCTCCTAAAAATATTGACTAAAACAGATCAAACCTACCTTGACAGTTTGCGGTATCAGCTCTGACAAAGACAACCAAGCGTCTTCAAATACTGTAACGAAAGCATGGATTTATTTTTCAGTATTGATCAAATTTGTAGCTGTTTTCACTCCCATGTGCTCGCTAACGCCTGCACGCGGTGCGCAAATGGGAAGGTATTGATGTAAACACAAACACACAACGCTGAAACAATCACTTCCGCGTCATGTGACCCTCATGTGACGTTCTTTAAAGGGGCCGTCAGCATTTCAACCACCTTCAAGGCACATAGACCGTAAATGGGTGGTATTTTAAAGGGATATTCTGGCATAAAATTAAGTTAGGGTCAAACACACCATAACACCGTGTTAGACACCCCCGAGAGAGATGAATTTTGCAGACCGCTTGCTTCTACACCAACTTTAGTCAAGACCACAGGATAGCAATACACAGCAGTCTGAGGAGTCATAAACAAGCCTCAACCAAAACGCCACTCCATAGCCACAAATAATGCTAAGAACAGCACCTAACTTCATCAACAGTACTTAATAGGGTCCTAGCCACAGCATTACCACCAAACATCTTTCTAACTTTGCCTAATTTTTTTTAGCAAAGAGACTAAACACAACTCATCTACTCTCTTCCAGCAGCCGCTTGTTTGTATGGAGACCTCAGGCCAGTCCATTACAGAATACAGCAGAGTGACGCAGCTCAAGGAAGAACATTTATGATCATTTCTTGATGGAAATGCAATCAGACTGAGACACTAAGGAAGAACAGCGTCTACAGTGCAAAATGATTAATATGGTGATTATTACTTCAAGGAAATGATAAATTAATGATGGTAAATGTTCTTCCTTGAGCTGCGTCACCCCACAGCTAAAAAGATGTTTGGTGGCAAGTGCTGTGACTTGGACCCTATATGTACTGTTGATGAAGTTAGGTGCTGTTTTGAGCATTATTTGTGGCTAGAGTGGCGTTTTGGTTGAGGTTTGTTTGTGGCTCCTCAGACTGCTGTGTATATCACTATCCTGCGGCCATTACTAAAGTTGGTATAACTAGAGAAGCAAGCGGTTGGCAACTCTCGAGGGGTTAAATTTGACTTAAAAGAAGCCCTATCCCTAGAGAGCTCTTTTAGCCAAAGTGCCCTGCTGAGTACTTTGATTAAAGTACGACATCTAGTTTTCAAAGAATATCTTGTTACTTTTTTCTTATCATTATGATTATGACTGGTAAAATATGTTCTTAACTTTTACTTGTAACAACAAACCGCCCTCCAATTCAGCCGTCAATGACTTGGATCTGCAGGGACCATCTGAAAAGTGCAATACTATATACGGTCCATGAGAAAGACACTGCAAAAACGTTTACTAACTTCACCCAGAGGCATCGCCACTTCAAACAAGAATTACAACAATTAGTTCTGCAAAAAATTAATTTATGTAATTTATGGGTAATGCGTCACGTTCTCCACCCTTGCCACCATTGGTCAAAAGTGCTCTGAACAAAGTGCTATTCAGTACAAAACAAATATTTAATTCATACAGTCAACAAGCAACTGAGAATATTTCAGAGCTTGGTCCATTCACTTCATGCTCATGTAACAAATACAGTAGCATGAAGAAGAACTGCTACTGAGTTACGCAAGAACCATGAACTGTGAGTGGAAATACACCAGTTCACTTCAAACATGACTGTCCTTTATTCCGTAGTATCAAAACAGCTTGTTTTGTTTCATTGTCATACCATCCATGTCTAAAGAATGATTTAAAAGGGTATTTTATGGTGTGTTTGACCAGAATGGACCAAATTCTAAAGATTTACCACAAGTCAAAACAAGTAGCAAAGCCCCATCCTTTATTGTCAGAGATGACAGAGAAACTTGATACATAGGCTGAAAGGTGTTGTCATCAAGCAAGTATGTTTATTACTAGCAGAAACCTGTTTACGGGAAATGTCTTGCACTTTACTCTTCCTGCTCATGTACATGAAATTGTGTTGCAATACTTCACTGGAAACACCATGAGTCTCAAAGTGGGAATTGCTGAGAGAATTTCTGTAATGCTGCACAATAATCCACTTTGTGCCTATGCAGATGCTCCGCCCAGAGGAGGAAACAATTTTTGACTGTGCAGATGTTGCTGGAGTGAAAGTTTGGAACATTTTTTTTTTTTTCGTCTGGTTTAATTGTACACTTTTGGAGCGTTGCCACAGTGCTGACTGCAATAAAACAAAACCTTTTTTACTGTGAAAATCCATGCATCATTTTAAGGATAGGGAACACATTTCAGTTTCATAACTCTGAACCTCTCAGACTGACTTTAAACTGGCCAAAGATGATATCTTGTGGTATGTTCCCAGTGGATCTGGGTGGAAATTCCTCTCCTTGGAGTTTATCGAGCAGAGGAAACAGATTGTGATGTAATTTGGCTGATAGGACTGCAACCAATATACTGTATAAATATGTCATCTTAAATCGCATTGACCACACAGAACTATGCTAATATTTTGACATTTTGCGCAATACATTTTTACACTTTCTTGGGTCTAGCCTAATAAGAAACACTTCCACCCATTTATGGTATAATAAATGCAGCAGTGGCTGCTTAGATGGGCTCAACTTAGTATTTTCAGTGTCATCTTACAGCTGGTTGGAGTCTGCTGAGACAATGAGGCAAAAAACAGTTTGGAGTGTGCGCAGGTGAAAGACAGGGTCTGAACATTGATGCTCACATGAATCTGTATCATCCTTACTGGAACACATTACACACAAAAAAGGTCTTATAGATCAGCAGGACTCTGTTGTGCAACATTTATCCCCAGAGGACAGAATAGGTCTGAGCATCTAAAGTAAAGTTTGGAGTGTTTTGGCCCTTTCCCTTCCCGCCCACTGACATCCTCTGAGCCTCGGCCTGTCTCTGTGCACTCATATCTTACAGATGCGTGAGCACATGCCAGGACACACACGTGCCCTGGTTGAGCTAATTCACAGGAACATTTGAAAGCATGTTGTTCTATACATGTGTGGAACTCTGCAGAGTGCGTGTGTGTGAGTGTTGATGCTCTCCAGACGTTTTTATGCTGCATCAGTATACGCTCCACTCTGAATTTGCTTTTGTGGCATCATTAATATTACAACATTATGCATCTATGTCTGCTTGTGGAGGAGTCAAAGGCAGATAGATAGACAGATGGATGGATGGATAAATAGATTTGTGTGTGTGTGTGTGTGTGTGTGCGTGTGTGGGTGGGACTCAGCAGAGGAAATGTGGCGCAGACTGACACAAGTTCTATTGTTCTTTCACAACAACAGCACACAAGAAGTGCTTTATTGGGGTCTGGACAAAAGGCAAGTTCAGACACACATCAAACATACAAGCACACACACATATGCATACACACACACACCAAGGCACGCAGACATCCTGTTTCCTCCTTGATATTACTTTCTCTCAGCTCCATTTTATAGTTTTCAGTTCTCCTGTGCCCACAAGTTCTTATAGTGAGATCATTACCATATAATCTGAAATATAAGTCACACCAGAGACACAGTCTGTCTATAAAAGGTTTGCAGGGCTAAGGTAAGGTATGTAGCTTCTTCCAGTTCATCCAAATATTTCTACCCTTAGCTATAGTTATGGTAATTCAGCACAGCTTACAGTAACATTGATAGTTGTGAAACAAGGACAGACCCACTGCCCATCACCAATTTGTTTGGGTTTTCACCACCTGCCTCACTGGTCACTTTTTGCCCTAACTTAGAAGAGTATTTACAATCTTACCGGCACTTTACAGGGTTTATCCACTGTACCACCATCTCTAAATGTAGTTTTATAACCTAATGAAAAGGGGAAGCAATAAAAAGTGGTGCCACTATACTGGTTAACCTTGCTATGTTTACAGCTTTGCGCAATGTTCTTCAGGTGTCAACTTCTGGGTGAAATACTGAACCTCGCAGGGACACAATGACATCACTTTAACTATTAGGCAAATTCATTATTTGTCCCATTATCTTCTACTTCTACATCATGTTCATACTGTTAATCAGGTTATTTTTCTTGGTTACTTGGACTGCTGCGGGGTGACGCAGCTCAAGGAAGAACATTTATGACCCTTTCTTTTTCATTTCCTTGAAATAATAATCACCATATTAATCATTTTGCACTGCAGATGCAGTAGTTCTTCTGCCTCAGTGTCTCGGTCTGATTGCATGTCCATGCAGGATTGATCACAAATGTTCTTCCTTGAGCTGTGTCACCCCGCTCTGGTCCGTGGTCTAACTTGGTGTTACAGTGTGTTTGACCCTAAATTAATTTTACGCCGGAATATCCTTTTGTGTATCTCACTTTTGTGAGTTTTAAATGCATAACAGTTATTTTTGTTTGAATGTTTGATTTTTTAACCTTTTCCATTGAGAGCATTTTGAGCTGCATTCAATGTTCTGAAATGTGCGATAACCTTACTTAATGATAAAATAAAAGTAGTAGTAGAAGTGGTGGTGGTCATCGTACGGAAGCTGTTGTGATACTGACATACGTATGACCTGCTTTACATCAATATGATTCCGGTTAGCTGACGTCTGCTCCCAGGAAATTTGCACACCTGTATTTTGGAGAAAACAGCGCGACGGACTTTCGGAAGAAACGTTATCAACTTTTACAGGAAATCAGTGTCCTCCCTCCTCCAATCCCTCAGCTCCACCCACAAACACACACAGACCCAGTTTCCACATGGGGGAAGGTCTTCCCCTGCAAAACATGTGGATATCTTCCTGCCACAACAGCGACGAAAACTAAAGTTTCTCTCTCTGCAGATCAGATTCTTCTCTCTCTGTCTACTTCATGGACAAACTCTGAACTTTTAAGGAATCGACCACCCTCGACTCGAAGCGAATCAAAATGGGGAAAGTGAACGTGGCTCTGAAGCGAAGTTACATTATCGTTGCTGCTTTGATCGGGGTGAGTGTTTTTCTGTCTCTACTCCACTGTTCAGACAGAAGGACATACAGCCAGGAGGAGATGTTGTTTCAGGTGGTCTGCTGAATCCGTTTAGCTCATTCAAGGGGCCCGCTACAGTGACAGCAGCACTGGGAATCTTTTTTTTCATTAGGTGGGAAAATAGCTGAATTTGGAAAATACATTTTTGCAGGGTGTCAGATAACATGACTGTTTATAATGCCTCTCAAAATCGCAAATAAAACCAGGGTGAAGAAAGTAGCCACTATAATTACTTGCAAATGTAAAAAAGCATAATACCCCCCTACAGGCTACTTGAACAACAACAAATGCAAAGTTACAATGTGTTTGGTGGCCAAACAAGATGTATGTTAATGTTAAAATCACAAGGTAAACCACAAGCAAGCAGCAACTAAAACGCAGCATTTCAGATTAAGGCTGAAATTATGGTATTTTAATCTACCAGAGTGAGAAACACAGGCTCTTTTCAGGTATCGGAAAAGAAGTATAGAGTCTAAAAATAAATATATAATACACCCTCTTTAAAGTAAGGTGACTTTCATTACATGCTACTCTCCAGAATTAAACTACCAGTCTGTTAATCTAATAAAAATAAGCTATCCCACTGAGCAATAGACGGCTATTAGACGTCTCCATTTTTTTTTGACCTAATTTCAACCATCTAGATTCTGTATATTTTTAGACGGAATTTAGTTTCACTTTAACCCATTATTCGATAACTTTTTACTTCAAAAAAGCAACTGTGAGTTGCATAGCTGATCTCCAAGTACTTAACCAAAATAATTATGATAGCTGTTGAGCAATACACAGTTAGACCTTTGTAAGCTGGCTAGTCTAAACTTGGTCTAAATTTAAACGTCTAAAAAATTTTAGACCTGTGGTGGCCGGATTTTAGACTAGTCGTCTCGGCTACATTTAGACGTCTATTAGACCTCTTTAGACCAAAAAATGCTCAGAGCGATCATTTAAAGGTATTTTATATCATGCACATGCACAAAGTACTTAAACGCTTTTGTTCTTCTTTTGTTATTTCTGAAAATCATTGGGGGAGGGGAGGTGGCAGACGAATGGATGTACTTAAAGCTACATAACTAGCCTTTGTTATCACATTTCCATGATAAATAATTCCAAAGAGAGCTAAAATAGAGCAGGGAGTGAGTAAATAATTGTAATGTTACAATTGTAATGGTTATTACAGTTATAACGTTTATTACAATTGATATACCATTATAGAGTTCGGGCCAACTTTCAGGTGTTGGCTATCATTGGAAATAATCGATTTTTGAATATTTGTTATCATAATCTATCGTCACTTGTCTCATCGTGAATCATGTTGCATTGAAGAATCGATGAATTGGCACACCCCGAGCAGGGAGACATTTGTTGTTAGAAAATCAAAATCAGCAACGTTACCTCTGTCCACAGGGGGCGCCAAAGTCAACACAAGGAGCTTCAAGTACCTACATTTCATACTTGATATTGACACAAGGGGATGGGGGAATAGAGATATGCCCCCAGATAAAGCAGAAGTATATTCCCCACACTAACTGCTGTGATCCAAAGAGAGGCATCAATATGTAAAGGGATTTTGACTCTCCAAATATCCAGGGTAATGTGCTGAAATATCTTTGCTGCATCGGGAATCAGTATTACACTTTCTAGATGGTTCCTGGATGTGAATGTCATGGCTAGCTGTGCAGGGCCTTGTTAGAGCAAGCAACAAATAAGGGCCTAAGTGATTATAATGGATAAAACATGGATGCAAATGAGACAGGCATTCTCATTTTTAAATTTCATGAGTATGAGTATATTCTTGTTAAACATAAGCAACTTGTGATTACCATAAAAGGCTAAAAGACTGTCAGGAATCTAACTTTGTATTGCATCGAGATTTAGAGAGTATTCAGTGTTGATTTACCTGTGATATTTTCTTGCAAAATGACAAAAGGCTACCTCAAAGGGCTTAGCTGGTGATCATAAAGGAGATTATGAAGGTCAATTTAATATTTAATGAGTATTTTTGTTTGTGTTTTTGCCTTAATCCAAGATATTCCCGGATTAAACATCAACTTCAGATCTGTCATCAAAACAAAACCAAAACAAGCGAACAAAACTCAATGACCGTAAGGGTGTTAAAACCTATCATCAAGTATTCAGTTTCAATTTTCTCACAGTGCAGACCATGGGAACCTGGTTGTGCAACAAGTGGTTTTGCTTGTTTGTGTGTCGCTGCAGGTGTGTTTATAACTGCCACTGTCATTCTATGGAACTGAATGATGCCTCCTTGTGTAGTATTTTTTTTACATATCGACAACACGACGTCAAACTTTACACACGGCGCTGTGGGAACAACACGCCTCTGCCTCATGATTTGGCTCAGAGCTCTTATACGCTTTGAACACATTGTCTAAAAGCTTAGCTTCAGGCAGATGTTTGACAACACACTGAAGTGATTGATGGTGGGAAAGTTGGCAGATTATGAATGAAGATATCAATAGCAGTTTTTATCTATGAAATGATGAAAAATGAAATGTTCTGCTGCTGTTTTTAGATCATTGGTGCCCTGCTGCTGGGATTTACTTTGTTTAGCCATGGATACCTCCACAATGACGAAGAGGTAACACTAACATTTAACTGTATGCTGTTATTTAAGATGCCACACAAGGCACAGCATATGTGTTTTATATGCTTACATTTACCAGCTGGATATTTCTTGGATAACTTATCTAAAAAAAGGGACTTCACTCATATTTCTAGTTGTACAAGCCATTTCAAATTCACTCTGAAAAATCTGCAATTAAAAAATCTGTACTCTTCTGTGTATTTACTGACCTAAACACACAAGCTGCAGGAAATTTAGACCATGTTTCAGACCCTTTTGTGGGTTGTTTGCACGCAGACAGAGAGTATTGAACTGTTCTGTCAACCGATCTGGCTGACCTGGTTCTGTGCTTGTTTTCTCCACAGATAGAAGAGTTACTAACAGGCATTAACGGCATGTACGCTATTTCCGTTATACCTCTGCTCTTAAGCATTGTTGGTGTGTACGGCGTCTGCAAACAGAAGCAGTGGATGCTCATTGTGGTGGGTAAAGACAAACAGAGAAAACACTAGAAATGCAAAAAAGCAAACATCAATCATGACATACTAAGTTGTAACTCACGCCTGCTTTACATGTGTGTGTCTCAGTTTACAGTGGTTATGATCCTGATCAGCCTGTTCCTGATTGTTTGCCTGATTCAAGGGCTGTCCTTGCAACCCGAGGTATTTTTGAGTTCATACTTACTGGTACTGCAAGTCAAGCAGTTTACATTTGTATAGTATACAGTTAAAAGCAGGTATTTCCATTTCTACAGTGTACGTTTGACAATGTGTAAAAGTCCCTCAATCAATAGTACAGAAGGTCAGCTTCTACGTGTCTTTTAAACATTGTGGACTAGTATCTGGGAACTTGCTCAATCCTGAATTGCAGAGTAAGCAGCAGTATGGTCGGTCAGCTGAGTGTCAAAGGTGGAAGTCACAAAAAAAAGAATCTAGGTTGCGAGCCCCTTTGCAGTCCTGAAAACAGATGATTATTGGAGCTAGAACTGGCAGTAGAGGGACTTATGACATTAACTTCAGATTTTAAGCCTGATTCAAAGTCTGATTCTTGATTTCAGTCAGACAGGGTATGATACAAAACACCACAATGCAGTATTTGCCCCAGGGGAAGCATGCACACTGTAAATAAGATGGGACCCAAGATAGACCCCTGGGGGATCCCATATGAAAGACGAGCGCAAGATGAAGAGGCGTTTTCAAGTAACAAAGACCTGTTTAACTAGAAGACATTGTGGTCGACTGTAACAGAGGCTAAGGCAACTGACTCCCTCCATGTTTGTAATTATGACAGAAGTGAAACCAAAATTACAGTTATAACTTTTGAACTTTTATCTTTAATGCAGCAAATCCAACATGATCATCAGCTGTTTATGATCGAAAATCTAAATCCCAAAAACAAATAGTATGTATTTTGTTTTGCAGTTTGAAAAAGCCATGAAGGTGCACTATGAGAATTTTCTACCACTGTCTGAAGCCAGTGATAGTGTGATAGAGGGCCTTCATGAAATACAAGTGGAGGTAGGTAACCTTGTTTTGGCATGTTTCCACTCATGTCCAGGGTAAGGATTTCTTTTATTGAGTACATCTGCATACAGAAGCGGTTTCAATTATATTTCCCCTCTTTCCTTTTGTCCTCAGTTTCAGTGTTGTGGACTGGATCAGGGCTACCTCGATTGGGGCCAGAATATTTCAAAAGCCTGCCTGTGCACAGAGGAGGCCACGAACCCATGTGTGAGTGAATAAAAGCTGAATGTCTCTCAGTATATTTTGTGCCTGAACATTGTATGCAAACACTGCAGGAGCATACTGAAGGTCTAGCACTCAACATGAAGCCAGTAAATGCCGATGTCATGACCATGTTTGTGTTCGTCTGACTCTGATGAAGTTTTGGCCTCATTTCAACCCTCCATACTGTCAGGAGGATTCTATTTTGGCCCTTAGTTGGTTGGTTGTTGTCGGACCCAGATTTATGTTGTCATGTGAGGAGTTCACAGATCTGGTCTTGGACCTATAGGTAATTTTCATATTTAAAGTTCTCAAAGAGCCTCTGATCACACTGAGCTAGAGATGGGCACGGCAGTTCTTTTACATGTATTGAATCACTAGAATCAGTTCACTGAAAAGATTCGTTCACCAAATTACCGAATCATTTAGTGGCAGAAGCCTGCTACTCTGACCTCTTAAACTGATACACAGCTGAACGTTTCAGGATTCAGTTCAATTCATAGCTTCTGGGACATTGATGAACTTGTTCATAAGTCATGATGTTTTAAGTGTACTGTCCTATGGTATGCTATTTGTCAGGTCTGCTTGAGTGATCCGTTAACTGTTTAGAAGAATTCACACTGAACATGCACCGTTCCCTCACAAACCACTGCAATGATAGGATGCTGCAGGTTTAATGCACTACTTGTTAAATGCTGTGTCCTATTGTGTGCAAGTTGTTGTGGTAGCAATTTAGCAGTAAAAAAAAAGGTCGTTTTGTCTGAAAAATAATTCCAGAGAGTGAAGTTCAATGCATGATTCATTTACCACATGATTCAGGCGTCGGTGCATGTGGTCCCTCGTTTGCTGGCTGCTGGCCTGGCAATGCTGTTTCTCACTTCAGCTCAACTGAAGTGAGAAACGAACGAATCAATCGAGGAAGGGATTAGGTTCAGTACATTAGCTTAAAAGATTTGGTACATTTGAACGAGTGAGACGAATCATTCGCGAAAGACACAACACTACTCTGAGCTGGATTACAAACCCTGCTGAGAGAGAAGTTGTATGTTTCCAGGAAAGATGTAACTAGTTTTTAATATATTTATTTATATTAGTTTACATTGTAAAAGCTGCTGTGAGGAATTTTTTAGTTTGTGTCAAGCTTGGGGCTCCTGTAGACAAAGCAGTTTACTTGTCATCTGTGTCCTCGAGGGGTGTCTTCTTACAAAAATCTCACCCTGCTGACTTTTGATGGTCAAATATATCATTTATATGTGAAGAGTATAAATACTGAGCAGTTTCTTCAGCTGCCAGGCTGACATCTACCCCCTCTTGCGGGTTCAGACGTTAAATGTTACAATATTAAGATAGTCAGTCTTTTTGCTGATGGTCTTCTTTTCTTTTATCAAAAAAAAAAAAGAAAAAAGAAAAACATTAATATGAGTTTCAGTCAGTGTTAAAAAAAAAATCCGCACAGGAGCTTTAACTTGTCAGTTTACTTTAGTTTTTCATTTTAGTAAAAATGCTCAGTTTTAGTTGTGTTCTTCTATGATTTTTAGCATCCCTTTTAATGACAGACAGGGAAAAGATCTGTAACAGAGTAGTGGCACCATCTGCTGGTGTAAAACAGCCATGGTCAAAAAACACGAAGATGAAACATCCACCAAGAACACAAAAGTAGCCACACAATAAACCGGCAAAGAGAAAAACAAGAAACATTTTTTTTTGTAGTTATATTTATTTTTTAGTATTTTAGTGAAAATAAAATGTGGTTGATTTTTTTTTTTTTTTTTGCCAAGGCTGAGTTTCTTCTTTTTTGTTTCAGTGAACAACAATGTTGAGAACAATGTTGTAATTGTCATTTTGTTAGCATGTGTGCAATCATCACTGCTATCATTCATAAGTTGTTTCATTCTTGACTCATATCTGTTTATTTTAGGTGGCAGCTCCAGGGAACAGTATTCATTTTGAGACTGATGGTGTCCAGCCCGTCATGATATATCAAGAGGTGATGAGAGGGATTGTCATTTCATTGATAACCACTAAAACACTGAGTTATGTAAACCTGCTTTACAAGAATAAGCTTGTCTTGACATTCAATATGTGCATTTAAAGTGACAGGATGGAATTATCTTATTTACACAAGGGTCAAATGTACAAAAACAGACTTACAGAAGAGTTAAATGTATTAAAGCAGAGATCACTAATATAAGAGACCCAAAGAAGGGCCTCCAGAATTACATATCAACTTCTTTCTGGTGCCTCTAACATCACACATAAAACTTGTAAAGAACTACAGTATCATGTTGAATTTGCTTAAACTCTAACCTTTTTTTTGCAAACATATTTTTGTATAAAACATCAAATTGATTAACTCAACTCTTATTTTTCAGCCATGCCTTCCACTACTTGTGACTCTCCAGATGGCTGTCTTTAATGTTTTGTTGGGCATAATGCTGGGAATCACATTACTCTGGGTATGTACAGTTTGTGTATTTTTACATTCATTTAAATAGCCAAGATGGTCCTGTCAGCCTTTCTAGGTCATAAATAGACAACAGTATTGTGTTTTTTGAAATCTACAGTATATCCTCTGAAAGTTTCACTTAATAGCTAAATGAAAGGATACAAGTGGCATTGTGTGAGCTTAAGAAAAGCCAAGAATTAAATAAATAAAAATGAAATCTAATCCTCCCACTTTCCTGACCCTTTCTCCGTCCTGACATTGACTCACTGTGACCCTGACAGACTTTGAGACACACAGTAACAGGATTTAAGACACACATCTCTATTTTTCTACATGCATCTTAATCTTGAATTTTTGTCTTTACACAAGTGATATGAATATAATTGATTGCTCTGAATTAAATTTTGTCCATTTGCACCTGCACTAGGTTTATCTGTTCTGCCTCCCTGTGAAGCTCTGTTCAAAACAAAGCATTTTTTTAAAAAGTGAAATATCTTACTCTGGTTAGAAGTGTTAAAACCGTGACTTTGCTGTCTTGTAGTTGTTGTCCGTGGTGCTGTGTATTGTGATCTTGTGCCGGCTGAATCGGAAGGATGACAGCCCCACAGTGGTTTACAGCCCAGAGGCGAAGTCAGGAAACTACATCACCCTCACAGAAGCCGCAGAGTACACCTGAAATTTCACCCTCAGCTATTTTTACCAGACATCACAATGCTCAGTTTGTGGTGAACCACTGAACTATTCTCGTATTTTAATCCTGTGCATCAGATTAAACATAATAATAATAATAATTAACATAGATGGTTCTCAAAAATATAATATTTACAACATAAAGCACTGAAAGATGACTGCAAAATAACTACAAATGGATGTATGAAAGCTTTAAAAATGTTATTGTTTTATTTGGTTTTTTACTTTTTTTTTTGCAGAATTTGTAAACCTCTTTTTTTCTTCTATGTATAATTTTCCAACTTTTATTGACATTTTTCTTCAGAAAACTACTGGGTTACTTGAGCTGTGTGTTGATAAATATATTTTTATAAATAATTGTATGTGATTATTACATTTGTGTTGCAAGACATGGAAGTTTCATGCCAGGGTGGGATGCAGGAAAAGAAATAACCAGTTATCCAAGTGTTTTTGTTTTTTTTAACGTGTGTTTGGTGCCAAAGATGAAATTCAAAATATATAAACCAGTCTTTTTTTTTACAGCATTGCTTTATCAAAGCTTTTAATTCCTCAAAAAGTGAAAAAGAATGTACATGACTCTTTTTGTCAGCTGTATAACCTTTCTGACATTTTTATTAAAAATGTATAATATGCCCTATCTGTCTTGATTTTTTGCTAATGTAAAGATAAAACAGAAAAACAGAAATGTTTGGAGGATTATTTGCCATAAACCTGTCAAAGGTATCGGGAAACTTTTGGTTGGATTAACAATCTGTGAGCAAAAATCATCCTGAACAAAACAAGAGCAAAATTAGAATTAAGATGGAAAATAATTTTACTGTTAAGTTTTATCTCAAAGTTTAGAAATGTATATTGTATGTCTTCTATTTTAGACGTAACAAACCTTTAAACTGCTGCTTTCATACTATAACAGTCTTCGCTGTCTTACATAAAATATTGTCTTAGGCACCATGTTTACTCCACTTTTCATGGTTTTACATCTGTAGTGTGTGATTTATCACTGGGGAAAATGTTCCCAGTGCACTTTTCTAACATCTAGAAAGTCAGCCGATCTTTAAAGATTTGGTTCTAGCAGCACCTCCATTTTGTTGGCCAAAGATAGTGGTTTGAGTGTTAATAAAGATGAGCGGTATGTTGAAGTGTCTTAAATAAGCAGCCAGATAAGTACAGAAATAGTCTAGTTTTCCCTTCAAACACAGCTATGAGTGCTGTGAATGGAAATACAACAAACCTTATAGGATCTGAACTCTGAGAATTAATGTGCAAACATAAAAGGAACAAGAATCACATATTTTATTCTTACTATTTACAAAATATTACACAAGTTCATCCCATAAATAAAATATAAATCATGTATGCCAGAAAATAAAAAACACCATACTTTGCAAGAACACATTAATTAGGCATAAATGGTTAAAGTGCACAGGTAGACATTGGATCTGCTGTTTCAGATGGAATTCATTCAGTAGTACGGAAGAACCACAGGAAGCTCATGTAGGAAGTTAAATGAGAAGTGGCGTGGTATGAAAAGGCGTCTCCGGTGAGAGTGACGTCAGAACTGGTGACACATTTTTCTGGAAGAGCCTCTCAAACCCGTCCGCAGCCACGTTGCCAACATGTCCCATGAGCTTAAATCAAAATCTTAGGAAGCATAAAACGCGGATTTACTGCATGTCTACTGGATGTGCAACCAAACTGAGTCTTCTCTCCTCCCATTTAACATAGTAATACATAATTCAACCAAAACTTGTGCTTAAGAAAATCAAGATTTGAGTGATAAAATGTTGAAATGTGCTTAACAAGGCATTAAGACATTCGGAAGTCCCAATGAGAGCTTTGGCTCATTCCTCTGTCTAACCTGATTATTTACCCTTTAAATACATTACTCAGTAATAATATAAATGATTACATTTCAATCAAACACTTTGTAAACACTGTTTAAGAAAGGTGCTACATACAGGTTATTTATTTAAATATACTTCAAAGGTTATTGGTTGCTCTAATGCTGAAAAATCAATGAGTGCGCTTCGTTAAGACTAGCACAGGCATCTACACTTAATATGTACTGTATGTTATAAATAGGTTGGTCCATTTAATAGTTTCTTTTTTTTTTTTTTTCATTTCAGTGGTGTGCATCAAATATAGATTTTTGTGAATTATGAAGACTACACTGACCTCAAAACATTAAAAGGCAGAATGTAGATTCAGCCTAAAACAATATTAAACAAACAAAAGTGCCTTTTATGCATATTTCAAAGTTTTAGGAGCTTTGGATGCAGTTTATTTGTGTTTGTCGCCCCAAAACTTACTGAGGAAAAGTATTAGCTACATGGGTCAACTCTCACTGCTAGAGACAAATGTGCTGATCAGCTCCAGCAAAGAAAACAAACAGCTGGTTAAATGCTTTCTAAGATATTATACCTTTTAGAGATATCACAACAGCATGTGAAATATAATGGCTCATAAATATTAGATTTCTTCTCAAACTGCAGTGTTTTTACAGCTGAAAGGCGAAATAAGACTCATCTGAAGTTAATCTATGCATGTAGATTACTTTCAATATCAGATACATGCAATAATTTGTCAGAAAATTATAATATTAACACATGTTGCCTTAGCACAAGTAGCCAGGATATGGTATACAGTATAATTAGTTTACATGTGCAAATTCAAACGAGGTTTTCTTGCTGATAAACTTGAAGAGTGTATCAAAACATACAAGGTGACTAGAAGGCACCAGGAACATATCTGTTTGATTGGAGGAGAGCCATGAACTCCTGTTTTCGTCTGATCTGGCCCATTAGCTTAATGCTCATCACGAGTAATACCACCTGGAAAAAACAGGAAAGAGTTTGGTAGATTGATTTGTCATAGTCAAGTCTGACAAACAGAGTCTAGATGATAAATCTCAGCTTGAGACAGGAATTATCTAGGGGATAAATATTTAGCGACAAAAAAGCAGATATGAACCATAGCCTGAATTTGATCATTAAAGCTACATATTTTTAAATTACTGGAATTTTGGTCCTTTATCCAACAAGTTCCTCCACTGATGTGTGAATGATAGGTGGATGAAAAACATTTGAAAAACCAGGCTTTTGGATGAGAGTTGTAAACGATTAAGAATTGTATAAGATGGTAATATACTCTGGGAAAATACAGTCTCTGAAACCTGGGGCTTTTGAAAAACTAATGTCTGTGTTTCCATAATTTTAAACTTAACTCTTATGGTATAAATGCACTGAAATTAAACAAAGGTTCCTTGTTCAGAGTATAAATTCATGTTGTGGAAATGCAGTGTAAAATGAAACTTATTAATGCACAAATCAAGACTGTATGTCTCTGAATAACAGTGATGTGTAAAAAAATGTGTACATACCCAAAAAACTGCACTTCCAAACTGTATACCCATCGCCAGAGAGAAAGCAAGTTTCAGTTCGGAGACATAAATTGGAAGGCAAGGCTGCAGAGAAAACAGAGCAGTTTGTTTTTCAATCATGGTGGGGAAAGTCGATAAATTAAAATGAGATTTGGCCACAGGTCTTTCCACTAAGTGGAAAAAAACTGAAGTACATTGAAGTAACCTTCTAAATCAGAGAGGCCACATTTTTTAAAGGTTAATGTGATAAAAAAAAAAAAATCTTTTACCCTTTGATAGACATACTGGTTCTTTGGAGCTCCAAGAGTGGCGCTGCCCCGTAGTCGGATCTATACAGGAATAAATAATGAGATGATCTGAAAAAGGTGTTGGCTGAATAATGGATTAATGATAATGATGTGAACCAGTTTTAGGCCTCATTCAAGTATATTGGCATATTTTTTAACAATTACCCTAAACAGCTGACTGACTTAACACACAGTTATGTTTGAGGCAATGTGTAAGTTTATCAGTCTTTGAATACAGTTTAACAAACTGTGCACCCAACAGAGATTTTCTGATGATAAGCTGGTTTGTTTTGTTGGTGCCCTCTGATTGGCTGATCGTATACAGACTATGGGACTGATTGTCCCACAGCTCGTTATCACTGATTGGCTTCACCTGGGGAGGTGGAAGCTTTATCTGGAAAGTTCCTTGCTCCTGAGCTTAACCTGGTTAAAATCTAGATAATATATCATAAAAATCTAATAATTTCTGACATAAAAATCTAATAATTTTTATGTCAGAAAGGACATTTAGCAGGGCTGGCTCAAGTAATTTAAAAACAGCCTTTTAGAATTTGTGGGTGAGTCTGGGGTGAGAGTTAGGGGTTTGGGTTTATAACAAAAAGAGTCATCCTCACTGCTCGAGCTTTGGTCTTCAAAAGGGAGATACTTACACATTTTCCTGGATATTGACAGTTACAGGAGGGAGGGATGTTGGAGCCCCAGTCTTTGTAGCCTTCAATGAGACCACAGCACTCAAACTAGAAGTGACACATAAACACACACCAATAAAATAAAACATTAACAAGATGCCTTACATAAGTGAGGAGCCCGGGAGGCGATATGAAATTTTGATTTTTTTTTAATTCGCATGTTTGATTTAGTATCTCGCACTTGTGATTTAGTATCTCGTACATGTGCTTTATTTGTATCTTGCTTAAGCGTTTTTGTTGTATCATGGACAGAGAGCATATTATCAACATTTTCTTTCTTTTAGGAATGGCTCACAAAGAGATACTTTAAAACTTATGCTGCGTCCGAACTGCCCGCTCGGATACTACATGCTACTGCTACGTGCTACTGCTAGATCCTACTCCTACATACTAAAAACGTTGGCCCAATTCGGACACACTAGACGAGCGGTGGGGAAAGACGACCCCCGCAGGCAGAGAGTAGGTACTGCGCCCGTGCAGACAGTAGTAACTGAAGCCCCTCATCTGCGGGCCTGGCTGTAGTACTGCAGCTGTGCAGTTTAATGATGGAATAAGTGAGCTTTACCTCCATGATGTCGCCACATATTTGCTCATAAAATGATTACTTGGGCAAATATGACACCATGACATGACAAAGAGATACAACCGCACATTTTTTAGGACAGTGTGTGAAGTTACATAAAACTTACATCTGTACTGCTGCTGTCCCGCCTGCTGCTGCTCCGACATGGTGCGCGCTGCTGTGGCCAGCCGGCGTTCGCGACACATTTAAATAGGCAGAGCAGCTGGTGGCGCTAGCATCACATGCGCTTCTACAACTTTTAAGAGGACGAAGAAGAAGCCCGCGGTGCATTTTGGGTCAGTAGCATGCCCGTAGGATGCACCGAGACCAACCTACAATGTGGGCGTGTCTAGTATCTGAAGTAGTATCTGAAGTAGCATGCTACTCGCTCCGGTGGCCAATTCGGACATGCTAGATACTACTTCGACTACTACTTCGACTACTACTTGGCAATTCGGACGCAGCTTTAGACACGTTTGGTATTGTTTTGAGTAGGAGACGCCTCATCAGGATCCTTAAAGCACAGCGACTTTGCCATCAGGAATATTCGAACATGCAGAAAGTGATTTTGTTTATTAACGAACAGTTAATTCGCACCTGCAATACAATAAAACACACATGCAAGATACTAAATCATTAGTGAGTATGCCAAAATTACATTAAAACGTTTAAATCTGTGATTAATACGCTGTTATTCTGTATCATTCTGAATCTAATTACTTAGCTGGTTGATACCTCTTTAAGGAATGACACACCTGCTCTCATGGCCACGCCCCCAACTCTACATATACTCCAGGTGCGGCTTCATTCACCTTTGATTGCCTACTGAGTGTGTGTGTGCTCTGTGTGCATCTTTTGTTTGTTACTGTCTGTCTTAATGTATTTTTTCATGTACTACGTTGGGAGCTCCTTTTTAATGAGGGGTTCTGTACTTTAATACTCAGAAAAATAACCCTCTAAAAACCTCTAGGTTAGCTATATTTGCAAGTCAAGCTAATGGCTCTTTGCTCGTAAAAAAAACAGTTGATTCCATAAAGTGTGGGACAGCAGGGACAGCTTTGTGTGGTTGTGACAGTTTTAGGAGTGTGGGATGTGTTACAGAGGTTTTCAATCCGTGACGTGGCCTCCCCGAGGGGGACGTTCTGAGTCATATCTCAGTCAAATCTGAGACATGATATGTCTATTTTTAGATTCAGCTTGACCTACACTTTCTGAGGAAATGAAGAAATATATCACCAGGAATCTGTTGGGATGTCATAAAATGCTCCAAAACTTGCTTTAGGCTTGTGACACTTCCCAATTTTCTGAACTCTTTAAAGAAATACCGTGATACAATTCTGTACAACCACGTTTTTTTTTTTTGTTTATAAGAACTGCTAATGACACATTAAGCATATATTTCATGTTGCTGATGAGCCAAAATGCAATGAACAACTTGTTTTAAAAACCAGGGCTAATGGTGCACGCTACATTTAAAAAGCTAACTATGGCTACAAGCTAACCAGCAACACTACACTGCTGTTTCCTTGCCCAAAAGCATTTTGCGAACTGTGAAAGCACAGTTACCACAGAGTAAAAGGAAGTAAGAGGATGCAAATGAGATTATCTTTAGTTAAAAACAAACAAAAATAACTAATAAGTTATTTCCCTGAAGTAGATGATTGAGAACATATTTCTTCTGGTATGTTGGGATAGTGAGGACATTTAAGACGTAAAGACTTATGGACTTGAAAGTGGCTGCAATTCTATCCTAACCGCTATTTAAAGACTGAAATTCAAATTGATGCCTTTTCATGATACCTGAAAGTAAACAAGATCATCAGGAACAAGACTGATGAACTGTATATTATAGTTTTAATGCCCAAAGCTGATGTAAGGCGGTAGGTGTCAGACAAGCAGCCCTGTCCTTACACTTTTCCACATTAAACTGGCAATAAATATTTTATTTGATGTTTAAAGGTCAGCAGGGTGAATTTACAACAAAAGCATGTAGAGGACAAGGTAAGAATAGACTGATCTGTCAATAGAGATTGGCAAAAAGAAAAAGTTCCTCACAGGTAGGGCTGGGCAATAAAACAATAACAATATATATTGAAAATTAATTTCCCTCAATATCAACATAAAACATGGTCAATATGCTTTTCAATAGTTGGCATTCTCTTATGTTTTGGTAGACTATACGAATAGCCAATGAAAAGGGGAGTTTCTCTGGGTCCACTTCGTGCTGAACCAATCATGAGCTGAATTAGAACCAGGTAGCAAACAACTGCGTAGTAGCAGGCTGCAGCTAAACGCAACCATAGCACTCTGACATGTGAAGCCGACGGCACTGTCAGTGAGAAAAAAAAGAAATGAGTGCTACCCCTGGCAGAAATGCACATAAAGGCTAAACAGGTGATGACATCCTCGACAACACTGGCATGAAAACATCGGTGAAAACGTCACAGATGCAGTAGCTTGTTGTATTGCAAAAGACATGCTACCAATGAGCACTCTTAAATTTCATTTTTTATATCCTGATATATATTGATATTGACTGATATGAAAAAAATACATTGTGATAAACTTTTTCCCATATCGCCCAGCCCTACTTATAGGAGTTTTAAAAAGGATGTTTGAATTATGAGGAGTAAATATGTTGATACCTCTTCTTGAATGCTGTACAGCAGCGTCCTGTTGGCTTTGCTGATTCCACTGAGCGGCATCATGGAGAGCAGCTTCGCCTCCTCACGGGCCACACGTTTCTGAGGAGGCACAAAAATCACATTTCCTTTTAAATTTTATGACATTTTTAGGGGCTGCAGATTTTATTCTTTTAAGAAATATTATCAAATGAATCACTATACCTCATACACATCCTGGTAACTTAGTGCTGTTCTTACAATTATTGTTTGACTGGCTGCTGCCATCCCTGCTGCATACTGCGCATATAAAACACCACAAGTAAATGAGAGATTAACCGTCCAGATGCCATTTCCCACAACACAAAGAAAGACGTTTTTCTTTATTATTTTTTTTTACCAGTATCAAACACCATCTTTTTCCTTTTAGGGCTCCAAACACACCAAGCACCGAGAGCAGCAGGCAGCCGATCTCCATGACGTACATGATCACGACTGAAGCACTGGACACCAGCTGTGGACGAGAATAATGACACTGGCATCACAAGGATACTGACAAAATAATCTTGAAGATATTTACATTATATTGCAGCAACTAACAATGCAAGATAACAAGGCTACCAAAGAGGTCAAAGGTCAGGGTCAGCTACAAAGAGGTAACCCATAGCACTTTAAGATAAGTCACAGCCTAGGGACGCTGTAACTGGCAGATGTGTGCAGCTTTAACTGAGGTCTAAGAGAGAAAAGACAATATAAAAAAAGTGCTGCTGCGCCGTTTTAGAGAAATATCGACAGGAGCCATGCATTAATAATTCCCCACTTGTTCTTGTTTACCTCAGCAACTCCTTTGCCCCCTGTAAAACTTTGTAACACAGTGGTATCTATTCGTGCCTCAATCAAATGTTACATCTGCTCAGGACATAGTTTTAATCTGGTTTAAGGCATGCATGACAACAGTCTTACTTTGCCAGTTTGGATGAGGTCTCTGTGCCAAGCTACTGTCATAGTCAACATGAAGAAACATAGTGCCTGTTAGGAAAGGAACATAAAACACTGCAAGTTAATAAAAAAGAAAGCAAACACACAGTTTATGATCAAGACAAATCACAAACAGTATCTAATCTGCAAATTCAATGCTAAATTTCATCTAAATCCTTAAGATTAAGCTTTTCTTTGCAGAAGTCATCCTCTTAAAGCAGCAGTTTGGTTCAGTGAAGGGCTAATGCTATCCCGGATTAGCCTACAACTGGAGTAATACCCTTTTTTAGGGCAGTGATAAGAGCCAAAACGGAGCCTTTCATTGCATATACTGCATATGATTCAAGACTCACAACTGAGAACTACAAACACAATTTTGATTTCAATACATAAAGATTTTTTTCTGGGAATATTGTACAAGAGGCATCCATTGTAGGATTAATCATATGGCAATGTATTGTTTCCAGATGTTTTCCTCCAAGACGTTCTTAACCTAAAATCATCTTGATGAAACATACACTGCAGTAGCCACATTGTGCATATTTTGATGGGAGGGGATTGTCTGCAGCATGTTTGTCTGAGAGACACACAGCCGAAGCCTACTGCACGACCCTTATTTGGGTTAATAATAGACTATTTAAGGTAAAATAACAAAAGCAAAACGTGGATTTAACAAGAAACATCAAATGCAATCAAAAAAAGCCTTTGTGTTGGAATGCATTGGAGAGGAGAAAAACCACCTACCATATGAACAGCATTTGCAAAGATAAACGGCCTTTTCAGGCTCGTTTTGTCCGCCACCACGATCACCGCGTTCCGCTGCATGCTGCTGATCTCTCCCGAGCTCGAACACGACCTCTCACATGTAAAAATAATAATATCTGCAGGGCTATGAGACACTAAAACAGACAGGGAATTTATCTACGTGCATCTATCCGCACACAACACGTCACCCTGATGGAGTGGATGAGGATGCTCTGTGCTGCTTTCAGGGACACTCGGAAATCCTACACACACACGGATGAGTGTGTATATTATTATTCAGCCACGGTCAGAGGAATTCATTCAAGAATGATACATTGATGGGATTGAGTTGTGGATTCGGAATTATATAAATGCAGGATGATAATTTTATTCATATTAATCTCGTCAACTCGGTGATGCATAATACATTTCGTTGTTTTTTTTTAATTGCATTACAACATGAAAGCTGACATTTTACGGACTTACCATGAAAACATTCAACGCCGAATATGATTTTATACTAATTAGTCTACTTCTGACTACAAAAGCTTCCATCGATTTAAACTTAGTTATAGTTGCTATCTTACAAAAATCTTTTTCTCAAAATCACTAAAAGATTTTTTTTAAAAAGATGACCTTGTTTAAAAGACACAGATGATAAAAACTGGCTTTTACAAATCCATTTATCTGTAGGTCCATTTTAAAATCTCTGTCCATTATAACCCCAGATTTTTTACAGAGTCTTTAAGGATGGGCTCAAAGGTGGATAGATCTGCTCTGGAGCAGCTGCCATGTGGTCCAAAGACAATTATTTCAGTCTTACTCTCATTTAATTTTAGAAAGTTGAGAGCCATCCAGGTTTTAATGTCCCTCAGACAGTCCAACAGTGGGCCCAAGGCATCTGAAAATCCTAATTTAAGGGGTAAATACAGCTGCGTATCATCAGCATAGAAATGAAAACAACCAATATTTAAACCCTATATAAACCTTTCATACATAGTCCATTAATAATTGAATGAAAATTATTAATCATCATTTCATTGCTTGTTAATAGTAAAGTAACTTTTAACATACATTAATAAACTATTTGCCATTTTTAAATGGTCTATATGCTTTTTTTAAATGAATATTTATGTATTATGGTTATTGTAAAGTGTTACCAAAAAGATTAATATAAAAAAATTCTGATGGCTGTACAAGTGTCCCTCATTCCTAAATATCTTCAATAATTTCTTGTCATATTTCAGCTACGTATACATTTAAATATATAATGGTTTATTTTGAAGTCAGATGGCCATTTTGATTTTGCTCTGTTTGCATATGCAACACACTCTGCCTTTTATGAATCATACTTTCAGTTTTGTTTTTTTTTAGCAGCTACTCCCTTCAAAGCTCTGACATGCAAAGAGCAGAATAGCAGCTCGAAGAAGCTGCAGCTATACCAAAACACAATTAAAAGCTATCGTGATTGTATTGGTGCAACTATTCACCTACTGACTGGCGAATGGACCTCCAAAATGTATCGACCAAACAGAAAGTCCATATTTGGTGAATGTTGATTCCAGTTGCAACTCTTGGGATCTAGTTATGTTAACCCAACTGTTAACTCAAATTGCCCTGATAGGAAAATTGAAAATGTATGGATGCATGTCCTCTTTAGGCTTTCATATATCACAGCACCTTTTTCATCTTTTGGTGTCTGTGTATGATTATTTGTGAATATCTAATTATTTTTATAGCTACTTTATTGTCAGTGCACAGTATTTTTCTACAGTTTTAGAATACACTGGGTCAAATGTATGAGCAGGTAAAATGACTTCATTTCCCATGATCCTACAGCAGCAAAGGGGCTGGGCTCTTCTTCTAAAACAGGCAGGGCAGGTTTCTATTGTTTCAACAGGTGCTTGGGAGATAGAAAGAGGCGGGAGGCTGCGATAGAGAGGAAACAGATAAAAGTGACAGACAGAAAGAAAGAGAGAGGGAGAAGAGCAGGTGGACAGGACAGGAACTTGGACTACATCTTTTAAGTTCTGTTTTTTTTTTTGAAGGAGGTACTCTTTTTTCAGTGACTGATGGCTCAGGAGGAGTACACAAAAAGTGTGGGATGAGTTTTCATGCTCTGTTTTGCTGTGGGCCGTAAAGTGGGTCAACACCTGAGAAGGAGGTGAAAGGAGCAGCAAAGGAGGAGACAGTTTTCCCTCAGGGAAGCAGCTGCAGATGGAGGAATACAAAATGAATTAGGTTTCTTTTTCTCATCTACTCACAGGTTCTCTTTTATTTAGAAGTATCTGTTCACATCTTGATGAATTTTTCACAAATTGAAACTGGTTTTCCAGGCTGTGTGTGGACAAATTTCACTACACTGACCTTGCTGTTGGCTATCTCTAGGACATTTTTGCAGAAGCAGAAACCTTGACCTAAGGCTGCACTTTTGGATTCATTTGAACTAAGATTGCAACAAACCAGCATTTTCCTCTACTATTCAAGCATAAAGATAACCTAGCATCTGTGGGCTTGAACATACCATCTGATCTCCAGCACAAGGGGGATCATTTCCTCCATTCTCACTCCTCCACGAGAGAGGAGGAAGCCAACTTCATCACCATGCAGAACCTGGGACCTGAGCATGATGACTCCTTTGACTTCTTGTTCAAGATCATCCTGATCGGAGACTCAAATGTGGGGAAGACCTGCGTGGTTCAGAACTTTAAGTCAGGGATTTTCTGTGAGAGACAGCAGAACACCATTGGCGTGGATTTCAGTGTGCGAACTTTGGATATAGAGGGGAAGAAAGTCAAGGTTGGTATGATGTATACGCATGTGAATAGTGGACAAAAAGCAGGGACATTTGGGGACTTAAATTACAACCACAGAGTATTAACTCCCCCATATGGTACCTTTACATGCATTCAGCTAAAGCTGGGAGAAAAATTTTCAAGATTAATCATATTTGACAGAGCAGAAAAATAAGTTTAACAAGAATTTTGCCATTTAGAGAGTGAACACTTCCTAAAAAAGTGGCCTGATAAAGTTCAACATAAGAAAAACATACAGAAAAGGACTCGAATTTTTGTTTTGCAAATCTTAGCCTTAAAAACAATGAATTTTGCTTCAAATGTCACAATAAATATCTTTTGTATAGCTATTGATATAAGGCCACACTCAGGATCAATTCCAGGCCATATGGTCCCTGCTACTCTTCACATCAAACAGCAATACCCTGGCCCTGTATGACAGTGACACAGATTTAAAATGTGCAGTCATTTCTTTTGTCTTAAGGAGGCCATTAAAGGTTTGAATTTTACCATGATTCCTATCCTGTAACGCCTGCTAAAGGCCTTGATCATTATCATGCAGAGTCAGCTGGCCCTGACAGTGACAGCCTGCACAGCACCACAACAGACTGCTGAGTTAAATGTCAAATGAGTAAAGTAAAAATAAAAAAGCAAGGGACCAGATGTGATGGATTATGGGGGGTTTGGGGGTCAAATAACACCAGAGAGAGAGGATTCCTTTGCTTATAGTATCAGTTAGACTCAGTCAAATAACTCGTCAGACCGGCTTCTCACATGCAGGACCTGTCTGTCAGGTTTCTTTGCTGTTCATGCGGGCGCAAATAAACCTGGAGTGACTTTTCTGTGCTGTCATCAGGATAAAAAAAGGAACTGAATGATTTAGGTCACAGTGACTCGATTTATTTGCACCATAAATCAGCGTTCAGACTGAGGACTTTTGTTTGAAAACCGTTACGCCACTGGTGTTAGTGTTGGATATGAAACAGGTGTCTAAAATGCTCATCTAAAGTCAGCTTCGGTAAACCATTTTGGTGTTTCCTGTATCTAACTGGATTTTTCTGTAGATTTCCTGTCACAGTGGGGGGAGGTGCGGTCTTTTGCTCAACACAAACACATAAACACACCTTCACTAACTGTATTCTCCTGTGGACGAGCCAGTTAGGTGACTGCAGGGCAAAAATTCATGGTATGCAGTTTTATTTAAACAAACAGGTCATTAAGTGAATGTTTTTTTATGGGAGGAACATATGCCATAAACCCTAAATGGTTATAAGAAAACTGTAAAGTCTACTTGTGTATTATAAGGACTACTTTTAATCACAATATATGAAGTTGCATCAAGGCTACAAAATGGTACAATATGTTACTTTCCTAATGAGTCATAAAGGCTCATTTGTGTCCAAGTCGCTTAATTACAGTTTTTCTTTGTCTGTGTACTTCAACCACCACCTGCCTGAGGCTATATGTTCCTGAGACACCTACAATGAGTACATTTCCTTTTGGTGTTGAACATCTTAGCCAAAGCTGTGTTGTCACTCTCTGTATGCAGATGTCAGCCTTATTTGAATTTCCTGTTTAAACTGATCCTGTTTGTTTGGTTTTGGTTGCTACTGTCAGCAAATATGAGCAATCGAGAGCTAATACTCAAATGCATTGGATTACTGAGATGCTAGGCTATGTTGTTTGTGCTGGCCATGCAAAAATTGACTTCAGTTAAAGCTCCTGTGAGGAGTTTTTGGTGGGTTATGAAACAGACTGAGATAACCAGTGATTCATACTCTGAAGTAACAGCCTTTCTAGCAGTAGGTGAGATATTTCACTGTAAAAAGTCAACAGGACAAGATTTTGTTAATTTAACACTATTTTAGAGATAAAATGTCCACAGGGGCCACAAAAATTACACAGACAGAAAGTTCCTGACAGGAGCTTCAGGCCTAAACGGCATCAAGATGTATTTTAGTGTTGAATCCATAGACTGTATATAGAATGGACAGCGTCTGCCTCCTCACTGGGTGAAGCCACTCCAAGAACAGCACCATCTGTTGACGGGCTGCAGTATAGGTCATAAATCCCACCTCCGTCAGCAAAGCCTTGGACAAACTATAGAAATTTATTACACAGAACATACATTTTTCCCCCCCGCTTGTGGTGATGGCACGTAGTTACAGTAAGACTGGTTTGTGCTCAAGTCCTCTTTTTTCTGTACAGCTCCATTTTTAAAAGTTATTAGGGGGTTCATATTTTCTATGATTGACACCTGATACAGCCTATTGGCGTTCAGGGATTGCGCAGCTCATCCGGGGATACGCTGTTTGAGCCGAGCGTCATCACAGCGACTCTCGGTGACTCTCCCGCTGAATGCGCACAACGCTACTGCACTGGTTTCAGGAAATGAAGAAAAATCCCAGAAATACTGAGAGCTTTTTGGCTTCAAATCTGTGTACAGGAGGGAGGCGGAACCAAGTTGTCCATAGTATAAACAGTCTATGATTGAATCCGAACAATATTTTGTGAATTTTTTTACAGGAACAAAATTCTAATCTTTTCTTCAAACCAAAATGTCAGTATTGTGTTTCGTGGCCCAAAAATGATCATGAAGGTTGAGTGCAAAACTAAGGGGAAAGTACTTCCTAACATATTGTTGTTGAAATCCTCCTGAATTAGATAAGGATAATCTTGAATTTTTGAACTACACAAACTAAAGGATTCATCAACACTTTCTTGAGATCTGATCAAATCTGAAAACTCTTAGACAGTCGGATTACATTAAACACCTGAGCGCTGATTCTCATCCAGATACACCAACACAAACAGGTGAGATGTGCTTGGCTGGGATTGGATTGGTTTGTATTGGTTGCTATGACAGCAGTTACCATGTTACCAAAGTCTGTCAGATGCTCAGGGAGTACTCTGCAGAGGAATAATGTCTGACACTGTTAACCTTCACACATTCATAAGAAGCATTTCTATTTACATGCAGATCAGCCACACACCTGTCCTCATGTAAATGTATCTGCTAAAGTTGATGCCTTATGTTCATTATGTGTGTCACAGATGCAGGTGTGGGACACAGCAGGTCAAGAGAGGTTTCGAACTATCACCCAAAGCTACTACCGCAGTGCCCATGGTGCCATTATCGCCTACGACATCACACGACTCTCCACGTTTGACTCAGTGACTCACTGGATCAAAGAGGTGGAGAACTTCGGAGCATCCAATGTAGTGCTGGTTCTTATAGGTGAGAGTGGGACTGTTAGTATTTGAGTGATTGGAAACATAAGATATGATATGATATGATAGGATAGGATAGGATAGGATAGGATATGATATGATATGATATGATATGATAGGATATCCTAGCCACAAATAATGCTCAGAACAGCACCTAACTTCATCAACCGTACATATAGGGTCCCAGCCACAGCACTAGCCACCAAACATCTTTTTAACTTTGCTTAATTTCTTTATTGTGTGTTTGACCCTAAATTAATTTTATGCCGGAATATCCCTTTAAGCGGAAGGCCATCTCAGTTCTTCTGACCCTTTCTTCTCTTGGTATGGTGATAATACTCGCTTATAATTAACAATCTTCAATTTAAAAGATTTAAAAAAAAAACTTCCTAAAACCTTCAAATTGCTAGAACAATGTACCAAATACTACAACCCAACCTGAAAGAAAAACGATTCAATGCATCCGGCTGCAGCTTTAACCCTTCCAACTTTGGATTTGCAGCCATAAAGTCCTCGACATTCAAGCCCTCTGCAAGTGTCAGCCTTAGTTTGTAAAATCAGTGCATTAAAGACAATATAAACAAACTTTTGTTGCAGAAGTCAGGTGCTGAGGATCACGCTGAGGTGTAATGCGCATGTTTCTGCTGTCATGTAGGTAACAAATGTGACCTGGAGGAGGAGCGTCAGGTTCCATTTCAGAAAGCCTGCAGCATGGCTAAAGAACGAGGCATACTAGCTACCCTAGAAACATCCGCAAAGGTAAAGAGCGTGTTAATGGGACACATGTCTTCAAGTTGGGATAAGTTTGTTCTTAAAAGTTCTTCTTTTTGTGTGTAAAGGAGAGTCAGAACGTAGAAGAAGCCTTCATGATGATGGCCAGAGAGCTGCTGGCTCGGAACGGCCTCCAAGTCCAGCAGGGAGACTTTGGGAGCATCGACATGCCTCGAGTTCTGCTCCGGTCCGACTCTCGACCTGTTAACGGGATGGCCAGTGCTTACACACCACCAGAGAAGAAGGACTGCTGCTGATTGTAACTTGGACAATAGTACGAAGAGAGCTGCCAGTAAGCCAGATGAAGAGAGTGAGAGACACTTTTCACCCTTTGCAGGAACTTTTTTGACTTAAAGTGAAAAGTGTTGAAATTCTTTTTAACTGAACAGATGCCGCAAGAACCATGAAGTCAAACTGGGCTTGTTTGGTAATGCAAGAATCTTATTTATATCAGCTATATCTTGATGATGTGAAACCACTACAGTTCCATTTTGTTAAATTTCTAACATCAAATCAGGACTTTAAATAACCCTAACCACAAAATCTACTCATTGCAAGCATTTTCTGAACCTGCTGCCCTTAACACATTTTTATTTGTCTTTTATTTTGTAAATGCTGTCTAACTACTGAATGAAACACAAGGAAGGACTACACAGAGCAGAAGACTCTGAGTATTTCACCAAAGTGAACTCTTGTGTTGCCTTAATGATGACCTTGATCCACTGCTGCTGCTGCTGCTGCTGCTGCTGCTCATTGGATGAAAACATCCTGGAACATCTGTAATAAGCCAGAACACTGTGAAGTTTTGTTCCGACTTTCATGTCAGTTAAAAACAAAAATAAAGTGTCATATTGTCTGTAATAGGTTGAGAATAGATCCTTGTTTTTCTGATCATAAATACAAACTATGCAATGTTTCACTTCATCATGTGTTTGTTTTTGTGAACACTAGAGGGCACTGTGGTATTACAGACACTCTCTCAGAGCAAGGTGGTTTCTCTATACAAATACTCAAGCGATGTCATTTTTTGCTGTCATGGATGTTTTACAAGTGTGAAATACAATTACCGAGTAAACTGGAAGGATATCTAAACACATTTCTGGAAGTCTTGGAGCTCCAGAAACTGTTGCCATCCTGGCTGATTTTTGGTTTCCTCATCTGAAAAAAGGGTGTTGCCTCATTTCCATCTGTCAGGAAGTAAATCAGAACGAAATCATCTGAATTCTACTTTCACTTCCAACCAACTTTCAATATGTTGTCCTCTAGGACACAAGGTGGCGTAAGATGACAATAAGTGAGCATAACTGTGTCTCCTGCCTCTTGCTTCCAAAAGAATAAACATTGATTGAAACCAGGTTCTGGGAAGAAAACCTCAAGCTTTGTCTGCTGAATTATAGCCTGTGGACGAATTTCAAGAATACAGTTCTTGATCTGTTACCAAATTTAATAACAGCACAACCTTGACAGTGCATGACTCAAGGCTTCCTTCCATTGCAGTTCGTCTAAAGATCTGATCATATAATCTTGCATATTCATTGAAAAAATGGCTTGACAGGTGTATCTGTAACCTGACATGACCTTATTTAACTCTGAGTGACATGTTGGATTGGATGGCTCACTGGTGGTTCAAGAGGAAAATAAGTCAAATATGGCTGCATACATCCTTCCCTTCAATCAGGTTTGGTAATCACTAAATAAACACACACTATCAGAAAAAATAAACCCAATTTTATTTCCAGAACACATGAAGACACTGTTGAACATTAATCAATACAAAAAGACCAAATACTACGTTAAAAAAAGATATTCTGAGCTCAACAACAAAGTTGCCACAACAGAAAAAAGCACCTGCAGTTAACTACGAGGGGAATTGGGAGATTTTATGTTGGGGTGATCAGATCTGATATTGATCAGAAATCGTTGGGTTTAGGGATACCATTTTATTTTTTCCCCCCAATCCTCAGAAGAGTAATGTTGGTGAATTATGCCGATAAAAGGACAATCGTTTTAAAAAATTCCAAAAATGGGCTTTTTTGTCCTGCTATAAAAGATAAAAAATCTGTCTCCAGCTGGTACTTCAACAAATCAAGACTTACTCAAAAACTGATCTCTGAATCTACCTTTTAAATCATCCATTCTTCAGCCTGTCAACAGACCTCGACATGATTCCAACTCTTCCCAACAGTCCAGCTCCATTTTAACTCAACCTGATGATTTCAATCCCGTTGCGCTTTTTCTCTTTGATTGGCCGAGGCAGACGCCCACCCTGCCCCTCACCTGTCTCCCCCACCACCTCCTGAGCCTCATTGTCCGACCCCCCTTGTCCTCCTTGTCCTGTATCCGTTCCTCCAATTTGTCTATCCTTGGGACATTCCCCATTGTAGGTCTTGACATATTCCTCAACACGCCACCCCCTGAACTCTTGTGGCTCGGAGCAGATCAGGCCGGTGTAAAACACGCCTGGGTGATGCTTGAGCCAGTAGTTCAGATAGTGGATATTGTAGTCGCAGATCCAGGGGTTGTTGTCCAGTGTGAGCTTTCGTAGAAAGTAGAGGTCTTCTAGGACACCGTACTGGAAGTAATGAAGGCTGTTGTTGGACAGGTCGAGCTCACGGAGATACAGGAGGCCATCGAATGCAGCTGGAAAGGGAGGAAAGAAGACCCAAAATAAGTCCGTTTTTATACTGGTATCCCTTGCAGGGCATATTTACACGACTAACAGTCATTGTCTTAAAATATCAGGGGATGGTATGTCTGTTACTTTGAAAACAGCTGCCTCACTGATGAGTACCATTCAAAACCATATCGTCATGGAGTTGCAAGCCTTAAAACGAAAAAAAAAATCAGCTGGAAAAGGCTAAAATACTCCACTGTACTACATGGACTGCAAAGTTGGATACATTTAAGCCTTAAAAAACGTACTTTCACGGCACAAAAAGTGAGCATTTGAAACATTAAAGCTCCTGTGTAGGACTTCCAGTTTTTGCCCATCTTGGTGCCCCCTGTGGACATAGCAGTCTCTCTTTGTCTTGTCTTCTGCAGAGTTAAACAGTGACTTTCAACAATGAGGATTATCCCGCAGACTTTTGACAGTCAATTCTATCACTTATTGTGAATATTATATGTGGAAATTACAAATCTAGACAAGTTTTTTACATGAATCCTGCATGAGGGGGTAGGTGTCAGCCTTCCAGTTAAAGAAACAGCTCATGGGAGCTTTAAATCACATTAATCCCTGATCCTTTTTGTGGGTGTTGCACTGGCACACTTGACAAGATGTTGTTTTTTTGCACATGTTTTCCTGTGAAGTGTTTATGCCGAGGACTTAATTTTACAAAGACAGCTGACCTGACTTGTCTTCATTTGGATTGAATAAGACACCATAATTATAGTCGTCTGTTCTACATCTTGTCCTATCCAGACATGACTCCAGAGTGACTTTTGAGAGGCAGACATGGCAACGATCTGCGTAATGGTACAGTAGAGACTGCTTCATGCTGTCCACTAGCCTTGGGACCAGCTTTGATCTTTACCGAGCGGAAGAGAAGAGAGGAGGGAAGGGAAATGGGAGGAGGAGGAGGAGGATGTGTGGCACATATAGAAGTGGACAAATGAAGTGACAACAAAGACATCTGTGAGACAGAAGCATAAAGAAGCAGCAGATCTGTGGGAATAAAACTCTTCTGGTTTTTATTTCCAATGATCCAAGTTATTGCTCCTGCAATGTTTAGGATTGAACAGATGAAGGGAGCCATAGGAGAGGTGGAGGGCAGGAAGGATGTTATACTTCCCCCTCTCATGTCTTATCTCTATACTGAGAGACTAACTCTTCCTAATCGGCTGCTGTTCATTTTAAGTACAGGGTGGTCTACTTTTACAGTCAAAGGCACCAAAATCATTTAAAGTCAGATTCCCTAATAAACTCATTCTTCATGTTGTCAATTCTTGTAAAAATGTTAAAGTTCAGTATCTGACTATCTGACTATCTTTCAGACAAAAAATTATCATCATTATTGTTATTATTATTGTTGTTGTTTTTCTATTTATTATTTTATCTTATTTTCTTTCGGGTTTAATTGCTTATTAGTTTTTCTTTATTATTATTATTTATTTATTTTTATTTATTTTTTATTTTTTTATTTTACATAACGTTTTGCCCCCAAACCACATACATTGTACTCATCCACACAATCAAGTGACAATATTCCCTACCATACATTTTGAACAGTTGTGACTGATACTCCCTACTCCTGTCTCACTTGTGTTTTTGCTCTGCTTGCCTTTTTTCCTTGTTTTTTTTTTCTTTGTTTTTTTTTGTTTGTTTGTTTGTTTGTTTGTTTGCTTTTGATTTGTTTTTGTCTCCTGTTATTGTCTCCATTGGTGTTGTTTTTTTTTTTATTTCTTGTTATTTCCTGTTTCTATTATTATTCATATTGCACTTTACTCCATTGCATGTCTTGTTAAATGTTTGCAATAAAAAATGAATGAAAAAAAAAAAAAATAAGATGAGGCAGTTTGTTCTGTTTTCACTTTATTGCTTAAATGAAATGTGCATGTCTGATATTTTCTGTTGAAAGGGTTCATTTGAAAGGTGTTTATTGTTGAAGGATCTCAGAGTCTCGTTAACTCCTGATGAGGGAACATTGATTGCACCTGGGTCTCAATGTCACTAATTACAGCGCTCCCTCCTAATTGGCTGAGGGCAGTAGGGGACACAGTATAAAGGTCCTTACACACCGGCGAATTTGCGGAGCGAAGCGAAAAAGCGAGACGAAAATTGCGAATATTCACCGGTCTGAAAAATCGCTTTCGCCTATACACACCGGCCGCGAAGCGAATATGCGTATATTTTTTGCAAAGCGAATTAATAAAGTCGCTCTGCGGCACGGAGGAGAGGAGATGCAGGGTGGAAGACAAGAGAGTGTCATCTTGTGAGAAAACTACTTCATTAGTAATTAGAAAGAGTTTTGGATGCACCTCAGCCGTCGTTCTCTGCGTTTTCATAATCTCAAACTTCTCCCTCTCCTCCAGCCGTAGGCTATGGGTCTGTGATGTCATCAACAACATGACTTTTGATTGGCCAGAGGTCTAGCAGGTCCAGATATTCGCCTGCGAATATCCGAAAAATTCGACACAAGAGCGAAAAAATAAAAGCGGCTTTTCGCCCCGCGGTAAAATCGCCGCCGGTGTGGAAGCTCGCATTGACTTTATGCTGTTTTAAAAAAAGGCGAATAATTCGCCTGGCGAATTCTCGCCCGGTGTGTAAGGACCTTAAGAGTTTTGGGAAATTTACCACTCTGGTTGATGAGATTATCTATGAGTATGGTGTGAAGGGCCTTTATATTTTCAATCTGAGTATTTTTTTCCCCATTTGTTGTCTGATTGGGACCTTAACAAATTCACCTCATGTGTTCCTTCATTTGTTTCAGAGACCTATTTAAACTCCCGTCATCCTTAAAAACACTATCTTCTTTTAGCTTCAGCCAAGCTCTCGATTTTGTCACTGACTTCCCTTTGTAATGTCCACACACACAAAACCTCCATGAGCGAGTATCAGACACTTAACATGACCTCGTTCAACTTCAACAGAGCAGATAGATTCAGGATTTACCCCCTCAGACTCGTCTTACTGTGCGGTGATCTTGGCAACAAGTCTCCATAACAAGTAAACACAATTTTTAGTCTCTTGTCACCATAACTACAGATACTGTTGCATAAGTCCCGCTATTATGTGCTCGTCCGCTGCTCGGCTGTTGCTTCATCCTTGGTGATGAAGAATAAATGAAGAAAGACATGAGGAATATCAAGAACTATTTTTGCACGGTTACTCGTTCCAGAAAGGCAGGGTCCAACACATTTGTGAAGTTTTTAGCCATTAAAAAGTGCAAAAAAAGCAAAAAAAAGCAAACTGTACTATTTGAGGGGTTTTTCCAAGTTAAAACCACAACAGTCTGGCACAACATTTTTCCAAAACCAACAATAAGACATTTGTAAACAATCCAAGTGTTCGAGTTCCTTTGTCCTGCCTTTTCCTCCATATAAAAAAGGCACATAAAAACAACCTCCTAAAAATGATCCTTTACATTTCTTTTACTTCAAATGTGAATGCAATTTGAAGCAGCACTCATGATTGAGACCACATGTCACTGGCTCTCTGAATTACTCTGAATTTATTCTCCTTTTTCCTAATAGTCTTGAACACACTGAGGAAAGCTGCAGCAGATTGTTTACATATGTCGGAGTGTAATGAAGAAAAGAAAATAGGAGCTTTTTTAAGGATTTCCCGCCTGGGCAGGAAGAACGAGCCCAGACATCATTAGCTCGAGGAGAAATGAGTGTGCACTTTTTTAATTGCACTCTGCTTCTACTGGGACAGCATTAGTATTCAGAACAGATATTGATCTTGTGAGCAATAAATTATCTCCTGTTTCCCTGGTGGAGGACTTTCAACCTTTCATTGATCTCTGATTAGATCTGACAGTCCCATCAGTCGTTAATCTGTGTCATTAAATGTCTCACAGTTTTACCGAACCTTTGCATCTTAATCAATATCATCAGTCTCAGTGGATTGCTAATCAGACAGAGTTTTGTGCCTTCTTGCATATTATACGGATTGGTGCAGACCTTATGTCACATTTTATTCACCTCCAGATGATTGATCCAGAGCTCAACAGCCAATTTGACTCCAGATAATGAAGTGTCACTGAAACCTCCCCCTCACAAGCAAAACAACAGGGGGAAAAATATGGATTTCTTCGGTGTTTCTTCACCTTTCTTGTAAATATTTTTGCAGGCCCTCATTTATCTCTCAACCCTTTGTTAGGGTGTTGACCCTTGCAAAGTGAAGTTCTTGATGAAAGCTGAAATCCACTGAATAAAAAGAGTCTCTGGCCACACTTCATGTATACTGGGGCTACAAGCTATTCAAATTCAAGTCTTAAAGGGATATTCCAGCATAAAATTAATTTAGGGTCAAACATACCGTAACACAAAGTTAGACACCCCCTTGAGAGATGAATGTTGCCGACCGCTTGCTTCTCTAGTTATACCAACTTTAGGAGCCACATACAAACCTCAACCATAACGCCACTCTATAGCCACAAATAATGCTCAGAACAGCACCTAACTTAATCAACAGTACATATAGGGTCCTAGCCATAGTACTAGCCACCAAACATAATTTTAACTTTGCCTGATTTCTTTAGCAAAGAGACTAAACACAACTCACCTACTCTCTTCCAGCAGCCGCTTGTTTGTAGTGAGACCTTGAGCTAGTTCATTACAGACTGCTGTGGGGTGACGCAGCTCAAGGAAGAACATTTATGATAATTTCTTTATCATTTCCTTGAAGTAATAATCACCATATTAATCATTCCGCACTGCAGATGCGGTAGTTCATCTGCCTTAGCGTCTCAGTCTGATTGCATTTTTGTGAAGAAATGATCATAAATGTTCTTCCTTGAGCTGCGTCACCCCACAGCAGTCTGTAATGTACTGGCTGGAGGAGAGTGGGTAAGTTGTGTTTGGTCTCTTTGCTACAGAAATAAGGTAAAGTTAAAAAGACGTTTGGTGGCTAGTACTATGGCTGGGACCCTATATACTATGTACTGTTGATGAAGTTAGGTGCTGTTCTGAGCATTATTTGTTGTGTGGCGTTTTGGTTGAGGTTTGCACGCGGAGACGTAGACCATGTATTGCTATCGTGCAGTCGTTACTAAAGTTTGTATACCTAGAGAAGCAAGTGGTTGGCAACATTCATCTCTCAAGGGGGTGTCTAACTCAGTGTTATGGTGTGTTTGACCAAAATTAATTTTACGCCGGAGTATCCCTTTAACATTGGAGGAATAATTGTCTGGTGCTGTCAATCCATCATCTTTGTAAGAAATTAAAACTAAACTTCTTAGGTAAATGAAATTTATCTTTCCTCTGCCATCTTAGACTATCTTATCTGTGAGATGGTGGACCAACAGTACCAGACTGATTTCCCTGCTGAAACCTGTCCACAAACCCAGACAGTATGAGAACTGAAGGGCCAGTCAGCAGTGCAGCAGTCAATTTTCAACAGGCCAAAATACCGAGGAAAAGGCTGCCAGACTGCATCTTATGGCATCAGTCTCATTCTTGTTAAACACAAGAAGTCATTTAAGGACAGGGTAGTAAAGAGCCGGACTGTTTGTTAGAGCCAAAAGGTCCACGAAGGCAGAGGCATGCTTTTATTTTCACTTTTCCAAAGTAGAGAGCTGCCCTTATTTGGCCTGCATCTGTTTCACTTTGTTGTTTTTGTGTTGATAATAAATAGTGAAGCAGGGTGAAGTGATGGCTGTAACTCCCTATGCAGACTGGCAGCTGTGTCGGTGTGCATGCACAGTATGTGTCTGTGTCTATTTGAAGAGCTTAAACTAAACGGGCACATCTGACAAAGTAGATCCAGGTTGAGTACCCCTGCCCACACTGATGACCATGCACCCTTTTGTCTTTGTGGTCTGGTTCATAATAAAGCCCTGTGTACTTATCCAGGAGGGGTCGCATGGGACCCCTCCTGGATCCTCGTTATACTGCACTTTCATCCAAATCGCAAACTCCCAGCCCAGGTGTAAGATCTCAGGTGTGCTGTTGTGTTACCTGTGTCCAATTTTTGAAGGTTATTGCTGCTGAGATTGAGCAGCTTGAGGTCTTTGGACAGCAGGAACTGTTTGGGCCTGAGATGTGTAATGCTGTTACTGGATAAATCCATCTTCACTATGTCGGACGGCAGGTTGGAGGGGATGTTTTTCAACTCTGTGAAAGAGAAAAGACAAAGAAACATGAGCTCTTGTAGAAAACTGCAGGATGCCAGAATTAACAGGGTTTTAAACAGAATTTTAAACAAATAAATATTCATTCCTGTTTATAGGTTTTGAGAATTCACACGTGTGCCCAACAAAATGAAATCAGGATATAATGCGCAAATCCCAGCATCTTCAGGAGTCCTGGAAATGTAATCCATCTGCATTTTTATACATTTTCAAGATGTTTCGTGGGTTGTGAGGATGTTTAAACTTTTCAAGATGGAGTCTAGTGCGAGGCAGTGGAGTGTTTTCACTCTCTTACAAGGTGGGGTCGGAGTGTGTGAGGCTGGAAACACAGTTAGGATGTCTTTGATAACTCTAATGTAAGAAACAGGGATTCCCATGTATTGCTGTTTCGATAACAAATCCTCTCTGGAGGTTTGAATCCCACGCTGAGGCATGTTTTATAAATATTTTCTCTTTTCTGCAAAGTTGGGACAATAAGAGAGAGGATTAATCAATGTCAGTACATTTTGGCCTTAGGCTGGGAACAACAGAGGTGAATCTAAATTCCACATAATAAAGTCCCAGATAAACGTTCCCATCCTTGCACAAGGTCTACTTCTTATTGTTTGCTTTTGTGGTGGGTCCAAAGGTAATCAGGCCAGCTTTACCTGTCAGTGTTTGTAAAAAAAATATAACAAGGTTGCATAAATCTGAGATCACATCTGCGTTTGCCAATCATAATTTAGCTTTGTTTAGAACTGAGTAGGTGGCCTGTGCGTCCTGGATTATCTGAGCGATCATGTGTGATTGTTTTCAAAGCAGTTTGAAGAGTGGCTGCAGCTGAGAGGAAGCAAAAGTGTGTTTAGGCAGTGATCAGAGACTGAGATACAATCATGCAAAGCTTATTCTGACACAAAAAAAGAGCCTTTTATTTTGTGGATTGTACATGCATGTGGATCCCTGCATGTATTTATTTACACGAGTCTTATAACATGCTCATTAGAGAGCTTACGGAGACTTTTATGGTGCAGATGTTGCAGTCGTTATGCACACACTTTACTGCTACAGATGTTGCAGCCAGCTATGGTGGAGAAACTGTGCTGTAAATCATCAGACTTTGAGAAAATGTAATACCATACGCACACACAGAGTTTGGAGAGTGCACACAGATGTAGCCAGTGGATTCAGGAAATGTAATTATTGTTGTTCAGTGATGCAGCAGAAACAGACTTTTCTGACCCTAAAGTTCCAAAAGCGATCAGTCTTAAGCAGTGAGAATTGGAAGTCTGAAGGGAATCCCATCATGCCTTTGGTGTACATGTGTCTGCAACTTTGTCCAAGCAGATTTTTAGATTAAAAGAAGCTGGAAAAACTCTCACTCCAGACTAAAACTCCCAGGTGCGCGTGAGATGCATCGGAGTCCAGTTTATTGAGCCAAAAACAAATCAGCAAACTCTTTTCTTTCCAAGACAGATGCATCTGTGGTTTTGTGGGTTTTACAGAAAGGATAATCTTCTACAGCAGATATTAAGCAGTTAGAGAAGGATAAGATGTGAGATAGGTTCTCCTCTTAGTTACAAATGATAGAAATAAGATGATCAAAAGATAGAAAAGGACTATTTCCTTGATCCTGATATGCTATATTAAGTGTCGCTCACTCTCAGACTTCTTTTTTATCGAAGGAGTCTTGTTGTGATTTTAATGGAGCAAATCTTTGAGATAGAGTGTGAGACCTTTTTTCCTACTTCAACATCTGTGGCCCTCCTCAGAGCTGACTGCAGGGTGGAGAAAATAAAGGCAGAACATGTCGGGAAAGGTCAGTCATTCGTTTAAGATCTGGGTTTTTGCTGAATCTGCTGGAGTCATTATTTCATCACTCATGTGAACATCTGTAAAACAGGACTCCGCTACCACCTGGGAAGATGTGCCTCGGTTGCAAACAACTTCCCCATATGATTTTAAGCTTTTGCCTGTAGGGTGTAAATCACCAAAGCTGCCTTATGTTGAAGCGTTTGGATAAATATATTAATGCAGCGACTTAATTCAAGGACAAATCCAGAGGAGTTTCAGGTATTAGTTTAACACTTGTAAGCTGTGTATACATTTCTAATAAGGATTACATATTGCAATAATTATACTGCAGTGTTTACACAGTCTGAAAGGGTAAGCTACTTTGAAGATTTAGCAGGAGTGCAGAACATTTATCTGGACTTACATAATCCTGCCCGGGAGGATGTATTTTACCACTCAAAATGACTTATATGTGCACTTAAGAGTGAAGATCTCCATTGTTTTCTCTCTTTTCTTTAGCATATATTCTAAAAAGTGTCCCACAGCCTGTTACTATGACTCTTGTCTGCAAAAGGTGAAATATACCGCCTCATGCATTACATGTGGGCCGCAGTACTGATTCATTTTGGAGCAGGTGGAGAGATACGTTCCATACTGTTTAGACAGTGGAAAGGGAAGCAGTTAATTCTTCTGACACGATCACCCCTGGGTCAGCTCTGCACGCCGCAGTGAATTCTTGTGGTCTGGACGCCCACCCCGGGCTCTGTCAGCGGGAATGATTTCTTGATGTGTTTTCTTCACAGTCGATGTGCTCTTGGTGGCAGTAAATTAGATCATATTTAAAATAGCTTCTGAACATTGAACACATTTCATTTCTTTTTATGACCTAAAGGTGTAATAGAGGAATAGGAAAAATATTAAGTATTTTTTCAACATGGGGTTACACAACTAAGGAAATAAGGTGAAACTTCTGTAAGACACTTTTTGCTTCACTTCTAACCCCCCTGGAGTAAAAAGTAGAGCCCATAAACCTTATTTGGAGTCTTTTTCATCATCTGCACTGGCAAAGAATTGTGCAACAACTCGTCACAGTTTGTGCATTGGGTTCATATTTTGGTTTTGTGCAGTATTTAAAACACTATTGTGGCAGGAACGAAGTTTTCCCAAACAAGCTGACATTTCTGTTTACAGAAAATCACTATTACAACAATCAGATTAGTACTTGCTGTCATGCCTGACAAAACAATGAGGTTCGGGTCATGATTTATAGTCTTTTAGCCCTAGTCCACAAGTTCATTGTCTTAAAGGAATAAAATGATATTTTAGTGTTTTTTAGTGGAGTTGCACGAGTTACCGGAGAGTATAACAGTGAAAACATCCTTGTGTCTGTATAAGACTGACATCCTTCCAAAACAGGGAACATACATTACCCATTGATGAAGCTTGTAGCTGATGTACCTTTTAGCATCTGGTCTGTGTGAATTTTAGTACAGTAAGAGTTGTGGTCCACTCACTCTTACACTCTTACTCTGATTAACCAACTTCCACGTTAAATTCTGAGCTGAAGCTTGAGAAAATATACCAGATGTCGCAGAGCTATTCATACAGACATACAGTAGAGGGTATCAAACAATATGTATGTATCCCTGTAGCTGAATTTCACCAGCCCTGTGGTAGACTTTGGCTTGTACATAACTTGTGGAACTACCTAGCTTAGTTGTACCCCTTGATTCTAGGTTGCCTACACATAATGTAGCAGCAAAAATTCAAAGATCTATTGCCAATGGTTTCATTAAAGCCATTAGAGATACAGAGGAAAGGCCTCAGTGTGTTTTCAAGGGGGCTGACTTAGAAATAAGAGCCCTGAGTTCATGTTGCACTCGGATTTTCAGTTAGATAGTTACTGACTAACATTAATATGATCCCAGCCCTTGAATGTTGAGTATTTGCTGCGACTACACTGTGGCTTGGGTCACACATCTCTACCCTGAGCCAGCCTGAGACCAACCTCAACCAGATGGCCGGTCCTTTTAGTTATGTTCAAACTTGACCCATAACCCTAACCCTAAATCATGATGAAAATATCTAGACTGTGTTTTATCTTAGACAGAGTGTATGTAATCCTCTCTTTTTGACCATTGTGTCTTGAAAATAACAAAATAATAAATTATGACTGAACTTGTGAAATCCACTTGTATGTCCACCCACATACTAAAATTTAAACAATGAGAAAACTGCCAACTCTTTGCAATAACCCTGCCATAGTTAATATTTTTATATTTCATAGTCTTTTCTCACAGTGTTAGCAGTGACCTTCTCACCTCAGAATGAAGTCATTCTTTGGAAACCCCCAAACCCCCTCACTTGGACTTCACTTGTACAGTTCGCAGTGCAGACTGGAAGAGTCAGCAACTAAATCCTGCTGTGAGTGGAGAGAGTAATGTTTGATACCGTCCGCTTTTTCATTCCCCCCACCTCTGCTTCCCGCTCAAATGACATTATGGGAGATTGAGTTTCTTTTCCACTGACTAACAGCCTACTGTCTGTGATCCAAGAAGTCCAGGAGACCCTGACATAATACTTTATGTGGGGTGTGTGTGTCTGTGTGTGTCTGTAGGGCTGGGAAGCAGCCAACTTATTCGCCACATACATTAGTCACTTTTCTGCTGCCAACACAAATGACTGGAGCTGTATATGGAGGATTTACTTGACCTCTGAAACCAATGATTTCTTGAGCCCAGTCTTGAGGGCTAAAAGAAACAGTTGGTACCCCCTGTAGGTGGGGTTTTGATTAACAGGATGCATGCAGGAAAACAAACAAGAAGACAGATAAGACAGAAGTTGTTGAGATCAAACTGAAAACAGGCTTTGCTAGCATAGGGTGACCATTAGAGCTGCAGCTATCGAATATTTTAGTAATCGAGTATTCTACCAAATATTCTATTGATCACTCGAGTAATTGGACGCAAACAGCAGACTCACATAAAGTTAGATTTCCTATAGCCAGACTCGGAGAAATAGAGGACAATCATGGAACAAGCGTGTGCATTAGCAGATTGCAATGCTCGTAAGAAAGCTAATTATGATATTAACTTTCATCATGCCCCTAAAGACATTACTGTCCGAGAGCTGAATAGCTCCTATGTTACCTGCTTCTGCTGCGACACCAGCAATGTTAGGCTACAAGCTAGCGTGAAGAGAAGTGTGCAGAGCAGCAGTGTCTCCGCCCACGACTCAGAGGCTAAGTGCTAATGAGCTACTTGAGCTCTACACAAGAAATCAGTGTTGCCAACTCCTCAGTAAGGAAAGTCGTAAAGTTGGAAACACTTAAAGAAAAGCCCCTCTCATTATTTATTTTTTCCGCTACATAAAACCGAAACAGCGCTTGCTCCTCCTTCTACCATGGTGACGTAAGCGCATCGTGTCACCTTCAAAAGGAACAGTGCGAAACAGTGACAATTTGAGCTTATAAAAGAGTACTCGAGGCAGAGAAAAATTCCTCGATCATGATTTGTAATCGAGGTGTTCGGGGAATCGTTTCAGCCCTAGTGACCATACGTCATCCTTGGGTCCTTTGTCTGGGGAAGTTTACAAAATCCTTCAAATGTCTGCAGTTCTGTACGAGTTCCGATTTTGTGTCACATGAACTTACTGTGTTAGAAGTGCATAAAAGAAACTTGATCCAAACCAAAAAACTCTCAAAATTAACTTAGCACAACTCTGTGACTCCGCCCCCGTGTAGTCATGTCCTTTTTTTGGGAAGTCAGAATATGGTCACCCTACGCTAGCATTACATATATCAAGTGTCCAAAACCCCCCAAAATTTAGCATCTTAGCCAAATGTCTGTGACTGTTAGCTAAAGGCTAACATATAATGGTTATATTTTTGTTCAAAAGTGGTCATGGCCTGTTTCACTAACTAGTTAAATGGTTTCAAAATAGAGGAAAAATTAAGCTATCCTAAGTGATGACATAATCATCCTGGTGTAAGTCATTTACAGCTGCTAAGACTCTGTAAACAATGAACAACACAGCTGTTGTCTTTGTTTGAAATAAAACCAGCATTGCCATGGTCCACTGTGTGACTAAAACAGTAGTTAATCGAAGGCACATTTCGATACAACCACAAAGTAGCTCTTAAGTCCACGTTCCATCTCTGAGAAACTCGGCCTCAGTGGCTCCCATACTAACTCTAACCACCCAGTACAGCACAGAGAGAGTGATGTGGAGCCTGAAATCTGCTGTGGTTCACCTCAGAGAAACAGTCCTCAGACCAGAGTGAGGGAGGCATTGAGATGTGGGGAGAAAAACAGAGAGATACACAAGGAAAGTATAGGGTCTGGAGACAGAAAACCAAAACAGAGTGGAAACATACTCAGATTACTGTTATTCTCACTCTCTGCTTGTTTTCCTGTCCCATGTGAAAGACAAACATCCTCCATACGTGCGTCGGCTCTGTCATGTTGGTCAAGTTTCTCTTTTATTTTTCAGTACATTCATGTTGGTTAAGTTTCCTTTATTTTTGCACACTGATGTTTTGTTTCATGTCGTGCATTTCCTGTTTTATTTTGTAAATCAGTAACCCTTGTTTCTGTCCCATAAGTTTGTTCCTGTCTGGTCTGCCCTGCCCCTGTCTTGTCACACCTGCCGCCTGATTGTGTCTCCCCACCTGTTTCCCATCACCCTGCTTACCTCTTGTATTATACCTTGTTTGTATGTGAGACTGAGTTTGCCTGTGCCTTTGAGTTTTCCTGCCAGTCCTGAAACTGTTCAGTTTGAAAACATACTGTGTATCTCTGAGCAAGGCGGGGGGAGCTTTTTTAAATGCATACTACTTTTGTCCCTTTTTGCACACTGTAGTTATGCTGTGACAGCATCCTTCTGCTTCCAGAAACACCTCTTTACTTTTGAATGACGCATTTCCCTTCAAAAACCCTCCCAGTATAGCTGATAAATCAAACACGATATACACTACGTGTCACACAGAATTTGAAAATCATACAAGTTTTTAGAGTTTTACTACTAGTACTTATCTTTTTTTCTCCCTTTTTCCTTTTTCTAAATTTTGTCTTAATTATTACATTTATTTAAGTTCTTAATATTAGGATCTTTATTTTTATAACTGCATTTTTGCACTCTTTGTCTGTGATGCTGCTGTGACAAAAAAATTTCCCCCATGGGGGATCAATAAAGGAATAAAGAAGTTTGAGCTGGGACACATACAGGCAGCCGGTCAGTTCAATGACAGCGGCTAATCGCATCACAAAAGCTTGCAGAGCACTATTTTAGAGTGTGCAGATTTCCACAGTCCTATGGGTGAATGTAATCAAAAAGGTTAACCACAGGTCTCACTGAGTGGGTGGCAACTGACTGCAGGCTAATCTACATCGTGGAAGTCTGGGATCAAAGCTGTCTCCTGCCTCTAAACCATGGTTTCAGACCACACTGGTGCAGCGTTCATCTGCATCATAAATCTGAAAGTCCAAAATCATAGTTTGTTAAAGCATGAATAATGTACTTCTATACATGCAAATTAAAATGGGATCATCCACTGGAATTCAGCGATTAGTCAGGATTTTAAAACAAATCACTTGATGACTTGATATCTATTTTAGCGTCCCTGTTTGGAGACAAAATGCATGCATTAGACTGAGCACAATACAAAACACGCTGGTGCCAAGAGCAGAGCTTGATTTAAGTGAAACTTGGACACATTTGAGTACATATATGAAACAGAAGTTCTGACAACATCTGTAAAAGTTTAAATTGTTGAGCTAAAGAGGGTATCTGTGATCCAATTTCACAAAGATTGGCAGCTAAAAAAAACAATTGAACTAATGAAAATATTAGTGCTGGAATGAAGTCAAATGTAAACAACCAAAAGGAAAGACTGCAGACCTTTACTGCTTTCATCTTACTGTACAACTTTATGTGGATCCTTGGAAACCATGTTGACCTGACCATATTGACTACCACACACAACAGCTGCAGCATATCAAGCAACATTCACACATCACATATTGCTTTCATGGCAGGGCATGATTTAGAAGGAGGCAGGATGTGGAGTTATTACCAGGCATAAAAAAAGAGAAAAGATGTGGAGAGATTAGGGGGGAATCAGAGAAACCTTACAGTAAGTCAGATAATGAAATGATTCAAAAGTCCGACTGCAGAAAAAATTAAAGTCAGGAAAATATGCAAAAAGCATCTTTGAGCATTTATGACACAGATGCAGCATTGTGTGGTTTTGGCTCCTCGTTGCTCTGTGAAAGATTGCTTTCTGCGAATGGCATAAGCTTTCCATTAACAGATCCGTTCAATTGCTGGTTTTAAATCTGGGAGCTCCCCGAGTCCCAAACACAGATACAATCCATCTTTCAGTTCTGTGTGTTGACAGCAGATGCTATTAGGGCATCAGAAAGGTCACATTTTAGGGCTTTGAAGAAGAGAGAGATAAAAGAGGGGCTGCTGCTAAGAGAGGAAATGAATAAAAGGAAGGAGATGAGAGAACAGTGAAGGATGAAGAGCCCACATAAAAGAAACTAAAAGTGATTTGTCTGCAAATTCAGAAATTGTCTTCCCTGTCTTGAGTCTGTCTTTGTAAAGCAACACTCAAACAAAAGTTTTATTAAGTTTTGGTGAAGCCTCTATGATAGCTGCAGCACAGTGACATTTTTACACAAAGAAAGAACCAGATGTGGAAGTGGAGGAACAAAGTTGAAACAAAGTTGGAAAAGTTTTTATATCATTCAGCCTGTTTAAATCATTCCGGCAACTTTTGCTTCCCACGCTGAGTCACAGTTAAAGTTAAAAACACTAACAGATTTCACTGCTGGGGGTTTTTACTGCCTTTCGAAACTTCTACGGGAACAGAAATCTGCAGAAAGTTAGTGGCTGTATGATTCAAATTAGAATACAACACAATAGAGATGGTGCTGTGTTTGCAGAAACTGGAGAGGCGCAGAACATCGCAACAGACCACACAAGAAATAAACACACCACGACCCAACTCACCAAAACACCACTTCAAACAGCAAAGCACACTTTTATATTACAGTCAATCTCAGTTAAACAAAGCCGAAAATATAATAAAGTGGAGAAGGTTGGATTTCATCAGCAAGTTTGTGCTCTGAGGAGCTCAGTGTCTTGTTAGCAACTTCTGAAGCAAAGGCAGGAGTCTGAAACGTCCTGCTCTAACCTTTCCCTCTCTCTAATTGAGGCACAGTCCTCAGAAAAACCTCACTCTGCTTCTTTTTCTGCTTGAATGCAACAAAAACATGAACACTACCTTATTCTGGATCCAATTTTTACTGGTAAAGCAAGCATGAGTTTGAATCAGAGACAGCTGGTCATGCTAACATATGCTAGCAGTGCAAAATGAGGGTTTGCAGCTACACAAGCAGTTTTGTGAGACTTAGCCCAGCAATGCTTCAGCTAAATGCTAACATTTGTTTATGAATGCACAATAAAGCCTAGTTAATTCCTCTGTGTATGCCACAGCTACAATATAGCAGCCTACAGGGTTGCAAGCACTACATAAACGTTTACATTAGAGTGTTAGCAATACTCCACCTGAAGGCTAGCAAGAAGGGTAATTTCTATGCATATGGTCAGTTTCCTGTTCTGCTACATTCTCCACTTGAAAAATCTAAAAGCTCATCTAATGATTGAAAATGTCTAGCATCTTAGTTTAGCTAGCGTGACCATATTCTGAATCCTCAAAAAGTGGACACGACTACGCGGGGGCAGAGTCACAGAATCGCACAAACGTAATTTTAGAGCTTTTTGGGTCGGATCTAGTGTCTTTTACACACTTCTAAGTAAGCAAGTCCATGTGACACAAACTCGAAACTTCCATACGAAACCCCAGACATCTAAATATTTTATAATTTTATAAACTTCCCCAGACAAAGCCGGACAAGGCCGGACAGCCCCCCAAAAAGAGGACATCTCCGGGTAAAAGAGGACGTATGTTCACTCCAAGTTTAGCATGTCTGTATGCTAACCTGTGCTTTTAACCAATAAATATGAAGTAAAGCTGGGGCTGACAGGAACCTCACCACCTTCTAAGTTTCAGTTAGAAATTTAATACACAGAATATGTTTTTCTCCCCCCTGCTTGCAATGTTGACATGTAGTTACTGTAAGACTGGTTTGTGCTCAAGTCCTCTTTTTTCTATACATCTCAATTTTTAAAAGTTATTTGAGGGTTCGTGTTTTCTATGATTGACACTTGATACAGCCTATGGGCATATGAAATTGTGCAGTTGAACCGGGGGATACGCTTTTTAAGCCGAGTGTCCTCACAGCGACTCTCCTGCCAAATGCATACAATGCTCCTGCGTAAGTGGTGGAGTGCGATGTTGGTTTTAGGAAGTGGGGAAAAAAAAACGGAAATACCGAGAGCTTTTCAGGTTCAAATCCGTAAACTGGTGGAAGGCGGAACCAAGTTGTCCATAGTATATACAGTCTATGATGCTAACCTGTGCTTTTAACCAATAAATATGAAGTAAATGGCTACTAACCCACTAGCAGACGACTGTTTTGAACTTACTGTTCATCAGGTGTCGACCATGTCTATCATCCTTACGTCATTCAAACCAAAATCTCTAAGAGTCAAACAGTTTCTTGAATTTCAGAGGTCTGCAGTTAGATAAGGTATTGCAGAGGGACTCACCTTTGCTGCTACAGTCCAGTAAAGGTTTGGGGAACATGTAGGTGTGGCACATAGACGTGGCCTCTAGCTTCTGTTTGATTGGTGGAGGCCTTTGCCGCCCCCCGTCTCCACCTCCTGGCCTGCTGTCCACTTGGTTGTCACCTGCACACAGTGAATCCACGTTTAGCTTCTTCAGCTTCTGACCGTGCAGTGACAGGGGCTCTGCACACTTGGCGTAGTTGCCCAGGTTGCGGTTGCTCGGCACCTGCAGGTTCCTGACCAGGCTGTCTAATGAGCAGTAACAGCTCCAGGGGTTATCATAGATCCGGAGGTAGGCAAGGCGTGGCAGGGGCAGCAGGAGCTCCTCTGAGGCTGTTTTCAGCCCGTTGTGTTGAAGCAGCAGGGTGGTGAGCTGGGAGAGGCCGCTGAACGCTCCGTCCTCCACCATGGAGATGCCGTTCTGCTGGAGGTCCAAGCTTTTCAGCTGGGTGAACTGAGAGAACATGTTGTCCCTCAAAACCTAAAAGAAGAATAGCAACTGTTAGTTTTTGTGGAACTGGTGTCAATAGATATTCTTGTGGTGAGTCCAGAAAACAGTGTGAAAATTAAAGAAATCAGTGTATCACTAACTGATTTCCAAATGGACAATTGAGTATTTGTAGAAGCTGGGAACTCCTTTGATACCACTGAATGAAAAAGAAGGTGGAAAGACTCAAATTGCAGATGTAATGCCCAAAATAATTCCTTTAGGTGCTGAACTTGTTTTCTTTCTTTTCTCGCTTTTTGAGACTTGTCATTAAACTGAATGAATTTACCACTAGAGTTACAGGTGACCTAGTTTATTCATCCAAGAACAGTCAGAAAGTAACATGGCTGCTTTGCAGAGTCAACATTGTTCCTTATGGAAATAAACTCCTGACATTTTCAGGACATTGAAGACATGCTGGAGAAGGAGTGAGCAGAGCTACCATGGAAAAAGGATCTCACCCAGTTGGCCAAAAGAGGTCAAGGTCTTTTGCTGTGATTCAAGACTTAAACGTTTTTCATGAACTTGTAGAAAACTTAAAGAGTAAACACTTGTAGAGTCTGACACAAGGAGAGTTTATTGCACCCCCAGAAAAGACTGTATAAGTACCTGAGAAATTCTGAGCACAGAGTTCTTGCTTGGTGTTTGTAAACTGGGACAGTCCAGTCAAATCACCTAACTGAGCTTTAACCATAGCTCAATTTAACTGTGTGTGTAAACAAAATGACTGTATAATTAGTTGTAAACACGAGCAGCACTCTGGCAGTTCACTCTGTAGTTACTTTACTAAAGAGCCGTGTTCACACAAGCTCAAAACTCTAGAAATATTTTAAGAGTAACTTGCATATGTGGATGCAAACAGATAAAATAAAGGGATACTCTTGACAGTTTTTCTCTGGACTTTCAATAAGAAGACAGTGTGAGCAAAAGTGGAAACATTGCAGTAAATATCCTGGGAAATTTCACAGAAACTGATGCTCTTATAATGCCATAACAGCAAAAATTGACATCATAGCATCAGATTGTGTTGCTTCATCCAGCTTCATATTGTAATCATTACGCTGTGGCTTCTGCAGCATGCTTTTGATGTCATATCCTGCCTCTTGGGACTCATTCACTCACCCACCCATTTTCCAACCCCCCCTCATCAAACGGGGAAAACTGCACGCAGTGAGGGACAAGTGTGAACCAGCAGCTTTGGAGGATTTCAAGAGGTGCATGTGTGAAAGAGGCTCAGGAGAGATCTACTGGCAAAGGCAATCAGCAGCAATGGGCACACATGGCAACAAAGTGCTTTCTGCAGGAGCATCTGCAGACAGTCTGGCCAAATCTCTTTTTGCTTTTCTTATTCTTTTCTTCTGTGTTGCAACAGTACAATACTGATGCAGCACATTTCTACATAAGAGAGTCCTATACGACTGAATTTATATCATCCATCTATGTCTCATTTGTACCATAGCTGGGCTGTGGTCTTCATGTTGATGAATAGCTTTTTCACCCTGATTTGGTTTATCTCTCTATGCATTTATTACTGCAAGCAGATCATTTTGCATCAGTAATACTCAAATATTCACCTTCAAAATAAAAGCATAGGTATGTTGTATCTTCAAGTGCAAATCTAACATATAGCTTATGGACTTGGCTTGAAATGTTTAACATATTTAAACAATTCACTATGTCATGCTAAATCCATCACACCTCCACTTTAAAGTAAATCCTCTTACGATCATTCTTTCCCTCACCAGTCATTCATTTTACAACCAATGTCTCTGAACTTCAATAGAGTAGAGATGAAGCTTAATTACGCCCATTTTTCACCAGTTTAATTAGTGTTTATATCTGGCTAGTCTGTTTTTATTTATTACCTTGCTGGCAAGGCATTTTGTTTTTTTCCTCTCAACACCTGTGACACACACATCCTGTGGGCTGACTTCAACATGCAAAAACTTATACACACATAGCAGAAAAATGTGTCTTTGATCTAGCTCCAAATAAATGGAGCACAGATGCTCTTGGTATCAACAAGCTGGTGGGGTTTAGGGTTAAAGTAAGAAGCTTGAGGCTTAAATCACAGGAAATTGATGCATTTGTTGAACAAAACTGCTGTACATTATCAAATTGTACATTATAAGTAGATTTGTATTCAGAAGTGTCCACATATACCTGAATCTTATTTCTTGCCAGCAGCAGATGTTGAATATCTTTGGGCCAGTCTTGCATTACAGTGGTCAGCTGTCGGTCCTGACAGTCCAGGTACTTCTCTCCTGCCTCAATATACTCCTTGCACTCCTGAGTCTGCCGTCTCATAACCCCAGCCCTGCCTCGGCCCCGCACACGGCCCCCAAGGCTCCTATCTCTATCCCTGGACCGAGGGCCTCTCCGGGGCTCAGCTGACTGGAAGAGCAGCAACAGGAGGAGGAGGGTGGCAAAGAGACGCATGATGGGAGAGGAGAAGAGGGGTGGGGAGGGCTCTTGGTAATCAGGTCAACCTTGAAGTACAGTTGACAGAAGTTTGGTGTGATGGGGCACAGCAGGCCGGTCACAGCTGTGTGTGGAGTGAAAAAACAGAGCAAAGAAAGGAGGTTAATTTACACATACATTATACTCCAGCTGTCAGTTAGGTTTTCTCTGGTCCAACATATACCAGGTACTGGTAGTTAAACTACTCAACTGATTACTCGTACCAATGTTGCATTAGGAGTACAGTCTCACATGTCATCGGCTGATAAAATGTGTCTTTATGAGCCAATCAAAGATATGCATTGATATGAAAATTGTTTTCAAGTGTGTTATTTGTAATTTACTTTTGACAAGTTTTCAGAATAATGCAATTATTTTTAAAGAGGTAAAAACAGATTGATAGCTTCCTTTTCATCGACATCAGTATAAAATTATAAATCAATCACAGTCTGATTACTGCTGGGGGTAGCTGGAATATCATACTGAAGGTTGCATCCTGCTTGCTTTTGTGCTGTCATGATATGCTCTGTTGATTCAGTTTTTCCCTGGTTTTGTTATTTGAGTGTATTTTCTTTGTGATTTTTCCCTAGTGTTTCCAAGTGTTTCTGTTCCCTGTTGTTCCTGTTCCCCTGTAGTCCAGTGTTGTGAGTTTTGAGTTTGTGTTTGACTCTGTTTTCTCTCCTGTTCTCTGTGTTTTATTCTTTATATCAGTTTTCAGTGTTTCCTGTTTTATTTTGTAGTAGTTAAATCCTTATGTTTGTCGTCTAATTTTACTTCCCTAGTTTTCCCTCTTTTGTTGATCACCCATGAGTTTCACCTGTGTCTTGTCAGCCTCACCTGTTGCCCGTTTCCCTGTGTGTGTATAGTCCCTGTCTTTCCCTCTGTCCTTGTTGGTTTACTGTATGTCGATGTGTGTGTTTGTGCTTGTTGATGGTACATCCCCAGTGAGTTTTGATTCTTTGGATTTTGCTTCTTGTGTTTGTGTTTTTTTTTTTTTTCATTTAGTTTTTTTTTAATAAATCTTTTTTTTGTCTGCATTTGGGTCCTTTCCCTTTTGTTTTAACTCTGGCTCATGATACTCTCTCCTTAAAGACTAATTTTCCTGCATACAAAGCCCTCTGAGATGTGATTGAGCTAAAGTATTTAGACCACAAACTAACTACAAAGACACCGGGGTACTCACCAAACTCAAGCCCTATTGTACCTGTACTTTTTCCACACTGCTATGTAGATTCTGTGAATGAAGCTAACTGAACATGAAGCTCAATTGTAGACTATTGTTGTAGCACTGTAAACAGAGCATGCGGCAAAGTATCACAACTGGAGACACTAGAAATCCTCAGCAATGTGGGGTTGCTTTATTTGTAGTTATTGGAAACAAGAGACCTTGTTAATGGCTGCTAGTGTCAGCCTCAAAAATGCACTTACCGTGCTTTATTTTACAGAATAATTATTTGCAAACATTTGATGGATGATAAGAAAGAAATGAGGAGAGACTTCTTTATTTGTCTGAGTAAGGATCAGTAAGGGGAAATGATGCACAGACAAAACTCTAAGAGATAATGAAAAGGATATTCAGGTAAAAGAAGCTCAGTGTTTTTTAGTTTAAGATTATTCTCAATCCATACTCTGGAAAGCTATATAAATTTGGATCACCAGTAAAGCAACATGCACAGGGATTTATTATAGTAGCATTACTGGGACACGTGGACATCTCCAGTGGTTACAGTGCACATGCTGGAGAAATTAGCGGGGATGCAGAGCAGGAGGAAAGTGGGTAGGAAACCGGAAAGGGGTTGGGAGGGAAAGAAAGAAAGGGAGACATTTGTTACGTGTTAACATGTTTTGGGTTAAAATGTGGTTGTAGTAAAGTGCTGTTTTCTCTCAGGGAAACCCCATGCACGTTTTGTACCTTCAACAAACAGGCCTGGATGGTGATCATTATTCCTCCCCTCTCTGTATCCACCCATGTGCTAAGTTCTGGGGCATTTTTAACAAACTATGATTCCATTTTATGGCTTGCCTCTGTTTTCATTGTAACAGCTCATTCTCACAAATCCATCCACTGTGTCTCTTTTTATAAATGCCATCTTGTTTCCATGCTAAGATAAGCTAATTAGCAGCCGGTGGTAGCATCTTTTAGGCTTTTCATCAAACTGTTGGTTAACTCTCAGACTCTAAAGCCCTTTTTGACAGCTTTTTGACTTACACCCTTCTTGTCTTTTAGTCTCTTTTCTTCACAGGCCTAATCTTTTGCCACTCATAGTGCCAAACTGTGAGGCTATCATCTGCCATAAAAATGAAAACTTCAAATCTGGAGATAATCACATTTATAGCCCAATAATGATGGCCATTATAAGCTTTTTTTGCTACTTGTTTTGGACTCTCTGTCTGCCGAGAAAAGTCAAGTGGAGTGTGAGTGAATGTGCACGTTTTCTGGTTTCATGGTGAGTCATGGTTCCCTTGTGTGATTAGAGGCAAAATGGCAAGGTCCGTCGGTCTGCCAAGATACCGTGCACGCACATAAACACACATGCATGTGCATGCTGATGCAGTCCAACTGTACCAAACCACAACCCCCCTCACAGTGTCCCAGTGTCTCCCACAGTGGAACAAGCCCGTCAATGCAGTTGGGGTCGTTCCATTGTGAATCACAGACTGGGCACGTTCGCCAGCTACAGACAGAAACAGCTGAGAATGTATCAAGGGAGGATCTTTCCACCCCATTAAGTACTTTTCAACTGTCTGACCATCAGTCGTCTTAAATGAAGCAAACATGTCGGCTCCATTTCCCTCACTGCAGTCTTCTCTTGCAATAACACACTCCTTGCTGGGCTGACATTAACAGAAACTCAGTGGATCGGTTCTCCTCAGCAGTTCCTGCATGTCGACCCCTTACAGACTTCTGTGTGTGTTCAGGTGCATGGTTATTGTACATATCTACTGGAACAATGTTCTTATGTCTGAGTTAGGCTACATGATAGTGCAGCTGATGAAAGACATGTTTCAACACAAAGCCAGACTTGTGCCACTACAAACACCAGACTAGACTATAATTAGGTGGAAAGCATTGAAGGCGATCTTGAGTGGACCCAGACACATCCCCTCTTTCTTTCTTTCTCTCTCTCTCTCTTTGTGTAACAGCTTTCAGGTGAAGTCATTTGGTCTGGTACAGGTTGTTTATATGCAGCACTGTGATCCAGCTGTACCAGCTGTCCTGAGCGGCCAAGTGTGCTGCATGGCACTGACACTGTAAGATTAATTCATTCAACTCAGCACAAACATTTACTCCAGTACGGTGCAGCCACATCCTTACATAATATCCATAATGTAAAGGATGTATGGGCAAATCGAAGACCACCACTGGGACATTCTGACCCTCCAGGGAGCCCTAATTGTGCCTTATGTAAGGAATCTTCTGTAACATATCATTAAGCTGGGGTTCCCAGACTTTACAGGCAGCGATTCCCCAAAAATGGTCCCAAAGAGTAGTTACTTTTATAGCTGGACTAACATATCTAGATAATGTAGTCTGTGGGTTGTTTTTCTCTTCCATGTTATGGCTCAATTGGACTGAAACTGGCCTAAGTGTTTTGCTCATGCTCTGGGGTTTGCACACCAGGAAGTTGAATAGCATAAATGTGTTGATTGAAAGCCTGAGAGCACAAAAAATGGGAAAAGGGCATTAACCCGGGATTTCCACCGCATCCGGAACAGCTCAGATCCAGAACGGTGGATCCGTTTGTGAGACAAATTTCGTGGTGGATTACGGACAGTGGTAACTGCGAGAATTCACAAGAACCCGCAGATTCACATGCAATCGTGCGATAGCAAGTTGTCTCTTAGCCACAGAGGCTAACCATAAATGCAGTAGATTGTGTCCTTCCAAAAAAGGAAATCCACCTCTAGACTTCTAGAATCATCATCTTCTCACCCATGGTGTCATCGGGGTGAAATGCTGTCTAAAAACCTGCCACTTGTTCGTCTCCGCCCGTATGCATGGTGTGAAATATGATCCGCCTGAAACACAGTGTTTAATTTTGACGAGAAGCCGGATGTTTTATTTTGTGTCTGTGCCCGACTTCCTTTCCAGCACAGGTTAATCTGTGCTGAATTTATCCGGCATGCTCCGGCGTTCTGGAAAAAATAAGAATTTTTGCGATCAGTTGCGGAGTCTGGTGATCAGCAGCAGAACGGAATGAAGCCGGTGGAAATTGACACATTGACTTGAATAGTTAAGATCAGCTATGATCAGCAGATACGGCCTTTTCATAGCTGTTCTGAATGCGGTGGAAATTGGGGGTTAAGAATGGCACGCTGTCCAGTAGTCCAGTGAAATTTCCCAGGTCAGGCTTTCACTGTAGTTTAACCTAACTCTGCATGTTGACTTTTTGACTGAAGAAAACCATGAACAATTGATATTCTCATTCAGTGTCTGTGTCAATAAACTTAATGATCTGCTGAAACCAACATAACTGCAAGTTTAGCACATTGATGCAAAGTTGCAGATTAAAGCAATGTCTCAATCCATTAGCCACGAAAGTCAGTATTTCCAAAAATTCTCTCTACACATTGAAAGTTTGAAATTTGTATCATTGGCATCCATGTTAGCATGGCCTCTTCAGCACGTTTTGCAGAAAAGTATCATAAACTCTGTGGCGTTTTCTGTTTTTCTGTCCTCAGTCTTTCTCTTAAGTTTTATCCATTACTTTAGCAATCCTTTCCAAAGTTGAAAAAAAGGTCAGCTAACCACCCAACTTCATTTTAAAGTTCATAAGTATCTTGCTTATTTTTTATTCCACTGAATCATCAAAACTTTTCTCTGAGGTCTTTAAAAAACATAAAGGCAACACAACTGTAAAATAAAAAAGGCCAAATATGACATTTTCTCTCCACTGCCCTCTGTTATTAATTAACTGTCCCCGAACCATTTGGACCCATGCTTGTATGACTCTGATCTTTTCCACCTCACAGCTGTTCAGGAGAAAGAGGCAGCCCTTCTTAGAAAAGTATAGCCGTGGTCAGACTGCAGCGTCCAAGACACATTCCAGCTGTGACCGTAACAAGCCCACTCATGCAAAGCCCATCCCTGTGGTTTACCTCGTGCCCATACCAGCCTGATTTAGCCCTTTCAAGGCCAGTTTGCTCCTCCAGGCCTACTTTGACTGGCCAGCACATGTTGACCAGAGGAATCTGACTTCCTCCGTCTGTAAACATCCAGCAGAAAGCTTTTAGAGATTCTTCCCCAAGGGTATTGCTTCTAAACACTTTGCATTTAGACTATTTCTTTTTACAACTTTGCTCTGCATTGACCTGAGTAGGGTTCGGAATCTCGATATTTAGGCTGCATATTCACAGAAGTCATGCTAGACATATGTTAGCACACAAACGTTATCACTGAGCGCAAACCACCAAACACGATAATTTGTATCTTATAACTTAAAAATATAGGGTCACCATATTCTGCCCTCCCAAGAAGAGGACATGACCATGTGGGGGCGGAGTCACGGAGTCGCACGGAGTTAATTTAGAGAGTTTCTTTGGGTCAGATCGAGTGTCTTTTATGAGCTTCTAACTCAGTATGTCCACATAACACAGACTCGAAACTTCTGTATAAAACCACAGACATTTGAAGGATTTTCTAGACTCCCCTGGACAAAGCCGGACAAGCCTGGACAGCCCCCAAAAAAGCGGACATGTCCGGGTAAAAGAGGACGTATGGTCACCCTAAAATAATAGGCTGAAAAGCAAAAAATTAAAACTTTAGGGGACAAGACTTGAACATCATACACAACTGTTTAGATTACTATTGTGAGAGCATTAGCTTTACTTGCTATACTAGTCTATTTCAATGGCCTACTTTCTTATCCATGACTCCACAGCCTCTTAAACCAACTTTCACCTGATTTAATTTCAGTCAGGGAGGCTGCGAAAATACAAGAAAAGGCTTTAGATAATGTGTTTTTCTGAATTCTAGCAAAACATGTCATTATAAGACAACTGACAATTTTCCATTGTCTGAAATCCAAATTGAAAAGACCCCCACACTGAAAAGTATAAGTTACCTCAGTGTCAGTCTGGTTCTAGGCTTCAGCACTTTATGTAGTGGCATAGTTGGCTCACAGTTTTATCACTTTTTTCAGTTCATAGAGAGTCTTACATGCTAACTAAGAGGGTAGTATAAGGCCTCTGGATGACTCTATTAACAGTGTGTTCTCGGTTTGTTATATTAGGTGCTAATTATAAGATATTTCGTGTTATTTAAATTTCTGGCGCAGTTTTCCGTACTGTCACATTTTGAACACATTAGGTAGACTTTACAGGAGACCACAACCAGGAAGGACTGCCAGTAAAGGCTTCACTGGTAATAGTAGAAGTATGATTATGTCAACACTTACTGTAGCATGACAGAGATTCAGTTACCAATTGGCACCGATTAGGCTCATGATGATTTTTCCATTCGTTCAGCTGTTTTTAAGACAATGATACAGTATTGGGTAATTTGCATTAAATCTTTTTGAATGGCTTTTCAACACTTAAACATTTCACCAAGTCAGCTTTTTGGATGGAGAGGGGACAACAGATCCTCAGTGCAAGTGTGCTTTCAATCAAAACAAACCACTTGATAAATGCTTAAGTCTGCAGTGTTTGGGTTTCTGGGTGGAATTTTGTTTAGGGGGACAGTGTGCGGGGGGTGTGGGCTGAAACTCATCTCCAACTGAACAGTATGCAGCAGCTTCAATAAGCCTTCCATTTAGAGCCAAAGTAACTTTGTTGTTGCAAGAAGTACTTCAGTTTAAGCTGTCTATGTTAAAGATCTGATTGCTGCATGTAAGGTTAGCATACAGAATGCAAGGCAGTGTCACTTAGCACTGTGGAAAGTGTAATTTAACCAGGTGGTTGGCCAGACTTCAGCGGTCAGACATTCGCCAAGGCAAGAGGAAGTTAAGCTCAGCCAAAAGAGCAAAAGTCAAAGTGCAACTGTGTGAATGAGGACAGCTGACATACTCAAGCTGACACACATAAAAAAAACAGTTGTTGGTAACAGTCTCACTATGGAACCAAATGGTGGAGCCCAAACTGTGGCATACATCGATATTTTAAAGAGGCTGACACTGACACATGCAGTCTCCTGCACTGTTTGCTTGCTCAGGTGGGTCAATGGTCCCAGTAGACCAAAGGAGCCACAGACAGGTTGGCCTCCTAGATCATAATAACCCACCTACACCAGAGAGAGGGGGCGGGAAAGGAAACACTGACTGACAATAAAAGAAATACAGATGGAGGCAGCACACATGTTTGAAAACCTAATCCAAGCAATGTTTCACACGGGGAAGAAAAGAAAACAGAGTAAAAGTGAAAGACAGACGAAAGTCCCAACAACATGATTAATGTCAGGGGCCGGACCAGCATGGGAAACAGGGATGTGTCAGCTAAAGAGGAAACTCCCACTGGAAAAAGATGAGAGGTTTGACTCAAAGACATCTTTTTGAGTGAGTTTAGGTACACAACCAACGCTTTTCATAAACAATCCAGTCAACCTTCTTGGATTACATTTGTGGGTCAAAATACAGGATCCGTTTTGGTTTTGTCCAGATGCCAGTGATGAAAATAAACATTTCTCTCAACTGTTATGGCTGGTCTAGATATGAAACGTGCACCGCCTGTGACCTCCCCTCTTTTTCACATGTTCAGTGACATAACATGATCAGATGCTTGATCATCATTCATTTCTAGGGAATCTTGGCCTTTTGTATCCAACAAGTGGTTGGAACTTATCCATGTATGAAATCTCGTGCTGCATTGTGATTTTGTTGAGATCCACTCCCATGTGTCATGAATTTGGTTACTGTAAAATATCTAAACAGAAAGGCAAAATAACTGCTGACAAAAAGGAAACAAACAAAAGCTTCTTTGTATATACGGTTTAGCAAATTCAATCAGGCTGAGAAATAAGCTTGTCTTGCAAAAATCTCCAAAATCTTATCAAGCTGTGAATCTGAAATCCTGCTGTAACAGCCTCTCTCTCGAAAAACCTTGAGGCGGCACATTCCCAACCTGCACTGGCTGCCTTCATGCTCCAATAACACTGAACCAGCCACTGGAGGATGGATGGAGTTCAGACCTCCAGAGGAAAAAGACTCTGAAACACAGGGGCCACTGTGTAACAGAGAGAAAGCAAGAACAAGCAGGGGAGGCAGCAGAAAAGCAAGAATGAGCCGTTTTTCCTTACCTACACACTAAAAAATGTAAGAAATTCAGCATCAATCAATCCAGCAAATTACAGTGAGAGAGTTTGAGGACAAGAACAAGGACTGAGCTGCAAGGTGAGGGCTTCTCTTTCTGCAAGACAACCTCCCACCAAGATTGGCTTACTTTGTTTTCTTTGGGCTGAGTCCCTGTAAATGTGGAGCGTATGTTTGCGCAAAGGTCTGTGGCTGGTTACCATGTAACAAACCCGCCATCATGCCACAAAAAAAGAGGCTGAATTCAAGGAAAGAATGACAGTTTAAGAACAAAAAGAGAAGAAGAGACAAAAGTCTTACCACAAGCCCTGAACCATAAACCAGAGGATGATACAGTGACATAGACAGACGCGTACTGTGTATGTAAAGAGAGCAAGCGAGGGAGAGAACCCTCACACATCCCTGTGAGCCTAATTGAAACCAGACACGTTCATTTCTGCAGGAAGGCAGAGGCGAGAGGGGAAAAACTTATGAGACAATGACACTTTCAGAGAGGGTCATATGTAATGAACGCAAAAGGGTAAATTCTTGTGGAAACCTGCCAAATTTCGAGCCGGTTGTTTGTGTAGGGAATAACTTTCCTGATACTCTTTGGGTCAAAATCAACAAGAATAGCAGCAGAGAGAGGTCATTGCCCCACGCACATAAATCTGTGACAACTTTCAGATTTCAGCTGATGTTACACAGGCAACAGTTTGGTCTCTCTCTGATTCTTGGCTGCATTTAATGATGTTCTCAGACTTACAACTGCAGGACACTATCATGTAACACTAATCAGGGTATAAAGCCGAAATGAGTCAGGTCAATAAATCAAGGACAGGGGATGAGCTGGGAAGCAATTCATTTTTCTGTCTCCTTTCTTAACTTTTGTTCTTTATCTTCCTTGCAAAGATCTTGAACATCTACCAAACTGTCTCAGACATTAAACACTCACACAATGTCCAACCAATTAACCAGCTACACTGATTGCTTTAAACTGGTTCCGCATGAACACATTGAGCTCCATTCTCCCACTTTTTATATTTTAAAGACTTCCACCTAAACCAACGTGCTGCACGCTGAAACAGCAGAAATTCAAGTATAAGGAAGTCCCACAATTTGTAATCAGACCAAACTTGCAAGTCAAGCCTTTTCTTTCCCCCTTCTTTTTGGGTGTAGGATTCCTGAGTGAAACCACACGCTGCTTCACTCAGCGCAGCATGAACCTGGAATTTTCCTGAAGCTTACACAGGGGCATGTAACTCCATACATATGCAGCTGTGCTTACACACATACTGGGGTTGAATCAACCTGCACGTACTCATACAAACAGTACAGTAAATCCTGCAATATTCTCTGGATTTTCTCAAGTTGTATCCTTAAATTTTGGGTCCTTTTGCCCCAAAAAAAACTACTTGGCAAATCAACCAAATTAAAATGGACAATTAAGTCTTTTGCTTTATTCAGTAACAGTAGGCAACATTTTCTGTGAAATTGCGCCAATTGGACGAGAACTAACCAGTGTTTTACAGTTAAAAAGGATCCAAATGTTGGCTATGTGCCCGTTGTAAATGAGTCATTATGCAGATGATTAACCGCTGTTTCTTTCAGTTAAAAGAGGATCCAAGAGGGTGAATGAATCCCTCGCTTTGTTAAACTGAATCCCCCCCAAAATTAGAACATGGATCCACCGGCCAGTTACATAACAAAAGCAGAGAGGAAGTGCCTTATCCTTTTTTGGCTGCAGGACTGATCTCTTTGAGGGGGAATTGAGATAATCTTCAGGGTGTAATGACCCTGCATAAACTTGGCGTGGCTTCAGTAACTCAGAGTTTAGTGGTTTAATGAGTGCTTACTTAAGCAATTCTACTTCACTTTTTAAGAGACCCCCTTAAACCCCCACTTTTAAACAACTGTTGATGTTCAGATGTAGCAGAAAAGTGTGCAGAATTACTATGATAGTATTTGTTATGCAAACATTCCCACTATCATCTGTGCAACTTGGCTTTCTCCATTCATATCTTCACATGTTTGCAATTTCCTTAGTTGTGCAAGACGCTTATGAGCTGCATGTGGTTGCATCTAAAGCTAAAAACTGAACACATGCTTCACTGTTGTGTGTTTTTATTTGTTTCAGCTAATTCTGAGTTATCCATCAAAAACCACTTAGTATGAGCTCAGCATGACCCAGTTGTATTCATTCTTTGTCTCCATTAACAGAGTGAGCCCAGCATGTCAATGGGACAATGCAGTTGGAGAGGAGGGAAGTTGGTTAATTCATTGGTGGATTTTATTACACATTTTGCAACACAATAACCCCTCCACAGTTAGTTTAAAATTAAAAACTGCAGCCTCCGGACAGATTTAATCATCCAGAGTAAACTGTGAAAAGTTGGCAAGTTTTGTTTGTCACCAAATTATCTTGAACATTGCACCAGAGAGAGTGTTGCATTGGCTGTTGTTACCATAGACATGGTCTTTCTCATGCACCTGGTTCTAATATAGGGGGTTTCTATCCTACCTGTGCAGGCTGAGAATCTGGCTCAGGTTCGTCCACAAGGACCTGCAGATCTCCGGTTGGTCCCGCGTCCCCGGCTCCTAATCCTGTCATGAGCGCTGCGTCTAAGCCAAGAAAATCTGCCTGGCTGCCTATAAAGTCAGAGCCTGGAGTGAGGGACGAACGACGCTCCCCCAGTCTCTCTCTCTCTCTCTCTCTCTCTCTCTCTCTCTCTCTCTCTCTCTCCTTTTTCTCTCCCCGTCTCTCTTGCAGATTGTGCTGAGTGATTAACTACTACACAAGCTACCTCTCTCTCCTTCTCTCTCTCACTCCCTCTCTTTCACCCACTCAGCTGGATCACACCGTGTATGTAAAGCAAAAAAGTCTTTGAGCAAAGTAAAGCTGATTCTCAAAGGAGCCACAAGGCTGCGTCTGGTTTAGCAGCACACACACACACACACACACACACACACACACACACACACACATATGTGTAGGAGGGCTGCAACCCTACTCTGGTCCCCTCTGTTGAACCGGTGGACCTCCTCCAGGATTTGCTGCTAAGTGACCTGACAGACTGGGAGAGAGAGGGAGAATGAGAGTGGACATCTGGGTGACATGGAGCCAAAACTCACCAACCACTGCAAACACTGTTTCATGCTCCTCACAAAAGGAGGTGCTTTAAGATGTAAGATGCAGGTTTGTTCCAAGACAGCCTCAATCAACTTTCAACATCTGCCTTTGATCGCTGCTGGAGTAGAGGAACTCTCCTTTTCTCCCCTTGTTATGAGGCTTTGAACAATGTTTCCAAGCATGTTGCATTCGACTCATGTGGTTGCACAAGATTCAAGCAAAGCTCACCATGGGGAGTACATTGCTTCAAAGTATATCGTGCAAGAGGTGGGACCTACCACTTGGGCAGTTTTTTGTTATGCTGCTGTTGTCTTTCAGACGCTGATCAATGTCCACCTGCAAGACACTTCTTCAAGCAATGCAGCCATGAATGAAGTAATTTTAGAGATGTATGGATTGTGAAAATCAAAGCTGATGTCAATGTTTATAATAATTTTGCCAATGCCATTAGCATGTTAATAACTGCTGTCTTTTGCATCCCTTCTGTCAATTTTTTAAAGTCTGGTATAAGCTATGAGGTTTCATACATTTACATAATCTCAAGACCCCCCTTTAAAAGTCTCTAAATATCACTTGAACTAAGCGTATAAAATGCATGTTGCTGATTTGTCTCTGGGATTTCCGCCGCATCCGGAACGGATCCGATCCAGCGGCAATTCCTATCAGATTCGTCGGTGAAACGAATTTTGTGGCAGATTACAGACAGCAGTAATTGCGAGAACTCACAAGAACCCATGGATTCACGTGCAATCACGCGATAACGAGTTGTCTCTTCGCCACAGAGGCTAACCATATCAGCAGTAGATTGTGTCCTTCCAGTTGTAGAAACAGCATCTCCTCATCCATGGTGTCATCAAGGTGAAATGCTGTCTAAAAACCTTTCACTTGTTCGTCACTGCCTGTTTGCTTGGTGTGAGTCACGATTCGCCTGAAACGCGGAGTGTTTTATTTTAAAAAGAAGCCGGATGTTTTATTTTGTGTCAGTGCCTGACTTCCTTTCCAGCACGTGCTAATCTGTGCTGAATTTATCCGGCAAGCTCCAGCGTCCAGAAAAAATAGAACATTTGTGATCAGCTGCGGCGTCCAGCAGAGCGGAAAGAAGCCGGTGGAAATTGACACATTGACTTGAGTGGTTACGATCAGCCACGATCGACGGATCCGGCCTTTTCGTAGCTGTTCCGGATGTGGTGGAAATTGGCACTTAGAGTTAAAAAAAATTCAGAACCCGAGGAAATCGTGCCGTGATAGCCAATAAATATCTTTAAGGTTTTAAGATAAATGCTTTGGTCAGCAGAAAGAGTGTGTCGCTCATATCATTTGTGGAAGCTTTGACCTTTTACTTGTTTTTTTTGATCCAGAGTCTTCATAAGTCTCACAATCAAGCTTGGCTAGTGGTCTAGTCATGTATGTAAGTCTAACTTATTTGATGTTTATTTAATAAATCGGGCTTGTGAGCTCCTGGTCTCGTGTTGGAGATAGACTTTGAGTTATTTCATGCTTGTAGTCTATATTTACTTGTGAGGCTGTGATTCCCACGGTGGCAGGACTCTTTCTACTACTTAATACTAACATGAACAAGTTGGCCTCTGACACAAACCAGCTCCTACTCAAATAGTTTCATCTATTACAGGGGAATTCTGTTCAATTTCACGGTGCCAAAGGACAGTAAGACCTTTTATCAAGTGCTGCTCCCCCTCTTCTCTTTTCTGCTCCGGAGCTTCACGGAGTGAACAGCTCCATATTAGGACCACCACTCTGCACTAGCTTAACTGGACTGTTTACTGGCAAACACTTTAAACAGTCAGTGGGCACTTACAATGAGAAAACTGTTTTAAGTAGAGGGAGCAGGGTTGGAGACCTGGGGAGTTCTCCTGTTAAAGGCTAGCTATAAAAGAGTCAACATGCCTGTTTAGCAAAGGATGGTATTCTCACTTCAAACATTCGAGCAACAACATGCAAGAGTTACTGTATTCCCCGGACCCAGAGATAAGAGGGGCTGTCTGTGTGCCAGACCAGCTGTTGTGCCAGTGGGAAGATGAAAAAAGGTGTGTCTTAAGAAAATCTCTTCAAACACATTCTTGTAATATCCAGGTCTGCTGATGAACTCATGCAGCCTTTTAGGGAATTTTATAGCCGTTGTTTTCTTCATAAATGTCTGAATAAATCATTGATGAAAGCAAAATGTGTGAACACGTCTAATGTGTCATGAAAGGCTCTGTCAAGGCATGTTTATAGCCTCTGCTTTACTATCTTTGAAAATCCAATATCTGTGCAAGATAGCATCAGACAACAAAGCTTTGCTTGATTCTCAGCTGCTTCATTAAAATGAATGAAAACTAATATCTTCTTGGGTGGTAGAAAAGCCATCCCTGTGCCTTTATAGATTATTCTAGCTAAGTGTATGCTTTGGAATCTGGGTGACGGTTACATAACGTAAACACAAAAATTGCCCTCTAATTAGGTTGAAGTTGCATTTCCTCTACTTGCAGCCTTAGCCGCAGGAAAAAGCCGTGAATGGTGTTTGCAGAGCTTCCTTATCCCAAGAGTAAAAGACTAACTTCTAAATCCTGTTACTGCACACTCTTTTATTTCCCATATTAAAGTGCGCAGACTGAGTGTGTATTATGTCAGAAAAGACACAAGTGAAATATGGGCTTTTCTTCACCCATATCATCAAATTTGGGGGCTATTCTTTACTCAAATTAATAACTCTTCTCCCTTTTTAAAGCTTGAATGAGTCATACATGAGCGGCTGCCAACGGTATCACTCAGTATTATCCTTCATGCTAATGTTAGCATTACTATTCACTACCTCTGACCAGCTTTTTTCCACCAAAGCTGAGTGACAGTTAATTTTCTTCAGGTGAAACATCATCTGTTGTGTTAAATGGACACATGATATTGTTTGGAGGTTATCACAGGCCCTTAAATGGAGTTAAGTCAAAATAGACTTGTATTAGACTGTGATATCCGCAAGTATTGTATTATTGCATCATGATGATTGTCGTAGCCAGCTTCCACCAGCAGGTTCAGGCCACATTAGCTACTGTAACGGCTAAAACCTACATGATCATGATTGGAACGGCCCCGCTCCACTCCGGCACGGCAGGCGGATCAAATACACAAGCATTATAATTAATGTGTGTGATTCGCCCACAATCCGCCCAGCATCCGGCTTCACTGCAGATCGGCTCCAGTGGCCCGATTAGATATGCAAGGCTTCTATTTTTGCCAGACGCCACAGCACGGTGCATCAATTCAGTGCAGCACAGCACGAGCTGCAGCAGAGGTTGTGTGTGGCTACAGAGTAAAATATCTGGTTGATTATCAAAATAAAATGAAGTCAAAACATTGAACTATTCTTAGCTTGATAGGAGAGGCCAGGGTTATGGGATGTGGGTGTTTATATACACCGCCATTTATATACACCGATCGGTGGATCTCATTCAATGTCTCACAGGGAAACACGCGAGAACTTGTGAGATCTCGTCCAGTCTTGTGAGAACTATCAGTATCAGAGCTGCTCCGCCAATGGCGGCAGCGGATCGGATCCGGTGGGCGCTATATGCCTGTATATTTGATCCACCTGCCGGTCCGGAGCAGAGTGGAGCTGTTCCAGATCCAGTGCCGGGTTAGTGTTTGACAATAGCGCACACCAGTTTTTGACTAAACTCAAAGCAGCAGCTGTCCTGGCATCCGGATCAGAAAATCTAAAAATGTAGAATGATGAACTGTTTAAAACTGAATTATTATTGTTCATTGAATTATTGTTTCTTTACAAAGTCAACTTTTCCTGACAATCTAACCCCCCAAAAATTGAAAACAGTTTTAAAAGTCCTAATGTCAAAATACAGAAATATTGCAATATGTTTTAGCCTGAATAGTTAAATCCTGCATGTACAATCAGCAAGTATGGTGCACTCAACAAGCACACTGGTCGTAAAGATCTCAGACAAAGGATTCATTTTTTGGACTTCACCAGAAAAATTCAGGGTCATTTAATGTGAAACAGGATATTGAAGTTCAAGTTATAGAAGTAGTACACTTATCGTACACTTTTGGCACAAAAACAGTCATCCAAGAGCCAAGATCTTTGTTGTTTTCATTTAATGTATTAGCAATGGGGCACTATTTTATCCCAGGGACACATGTTTCATCAGTTAACCATCCTTCTCACTGTCGACTTCATCTTTTTGTCTTGCTATCCTCATTTGGGAATTGATTTCCTTGTGTCTGTTTGTGTTTCTTTCTCTCACAGTTAGTGTCCCCTGCCTCTCTACCTGGACACAATCCACAACAACAGATTGTAAACACATTAGGAGAACACATGTAGACATAAACAAGGCCACACTGATGCAACTACTGAGACAAACCAGATGACCTCAAAATCTCCATCTGTGTAGCTCAAAAATACTTGATACTTGATATATCATTTTGTTAAAGCCTCACTGAGTCTCGTTAACTCCAGGTGTGTGGAGATTGATTGCACCTGGATCAGAGTGGCACTAATTAAGAGCTTCTCCCTGATTGGCTGAGGCAGCACACAGCAGGATAGAAAAGGTTTGGGAAAACAGCAAACTGGTTTGTCTTTTCTGTGAAGATTACCCAAGGAACTTTTTATCTGACAAAAAAACCCTGCAAAAATTCAAATTTATCACCATTACTGAGTGTACTTTTTATTCTTACTCTACCTAGAACAATACACAAAATGCTGAAG